CTCCCACCAGCTCTAAGCCCATCTTACAGGCCCACATCTCTCCTTTCCGCAAGACTATTTTCCTGAGCCACACCCTTCCCTCGCTCTGCTGTGGTCTGGGCTGGTTCCTTGGGATGCCCCCCTTCCATCACATGCCCTAGAACTTCAGGTCCTGGCTCCCAGGCCTGGAGTTTGCCAACTCTGTTCTTTTCCTTTTTAGGAGTCAGGATGTTTGCCTGCTCCAGTCCTGTGGTCCTGCTCCTCTTCTCCATGCCTCCAAATACCAGACAGGGGCTCTTCCCCAAGGCTCCCTCCCCGTGGACCCTCTGCCTCCCATTCTCCAGCCAGACACCAAAGGCATCTTCCTGAAGACTGTCCCTCCCTGCTCAACAAACCGTTATGGCTCCCTATTACTCCCAGGACCGAATGCAATCTCCTCTGGCTTAAAAGCCTGCTCCAAGCCGGCTCTCGTCGATTCCAGCTCTATCCCTTAGTTATTACTCTCATTCCCACACTCAGAGACCTGGCCAGAGGGGCCTTCCTGATGTTTCTCTCTCTCCTCTCCTTTCCCTCTCTTTCTCTCTCTGTCTCTGTCTCTCTCCTCTCTTCTCTTTCTCTCTTTTCTCTCCTCTCCTCTCCCTCTATCTCTTTCTCTCCTTTTCCCTCTCTTCTCCTCTCCTTTCTGTCTCTCGTCTCTCTCCTTTCTCTCTCTCTCTGTCTCCTATCTCTGTCTACACACACACACACACACACACACACACACACACACACACGCTGCTTCATTTCCCATCTCTCTGTTTTTGCCTGTGCTGTATCCCTGCAGGTACACTGGAGGTACCAGCCCAAGTCCTCCTCCCCATACTGTCTTTAGTATACTAAGCCGCCATTTGGCAAGACTTGGGCTGGCCCTGGTATCTTTATCTCTGGTACCTGAAGGCCTAGAGGGCAGGGACAGGGCCCCTCCGAAGCAGCTCCCTTCAGTGGGGTTGCCCCAAAGCTCCAGCCTTGGATGCCAACCTGGCACAGTGGGAGCATCCACGGCAGGGTGGGGTTCTCATGGGGAGCCTGGAGGGGAACAGGGCTGGGGAGGGGGCAGGCATGACCAGGTTGTCTCTTGTGGAAAAGCCCTACCACAGGGGCTGGGCCAGCCACCTCTCTGTCCTGAGATTAGCTCCTCAGTGAGAGTCCCAGCCCTGCCCCTTTCTCTTCCCAATGTGGCCTGGCCTCTCTACACCTCATCCTCATCACAGGGTCTGTCTTAGGGGTGTCAGAGGGACACACACACACACACACACACACACACACCCAGCATCTGGAGAAAGGGCCCCTGGGATGGCCAGGTGCCCACACCCCTCCTGCCCCCTGCCTGCCCACCTGGGCAGGAGTCCTGGACAGTCCAGACAGCAGCTGGGAGGCCCAAGCTTGCCTCCTGGCAGGCTGGCATGGTGCCAGCCAGGGAGGAAGAAGAGATGAGTTTCCTGAACCTTGCCCAAGCCCAGGACCCTCAGTGGGGAGGCTCCTGCAGCCTCCTCCCTGCTTCCCTTAAGGTAGTCATGGATAGATAGCTGGCCCCAGCCTTGGCTCTGGGAAGGAGGTGGGGAGGAGAGGCTGTTGGCAAGGCCAGCATCCTGAGTGGTCAGGTATGGGGCTGGGAACCAAGGTTCCCCAGGATAGGGCAGCTGCATGCCTTGAGCCCAGGAGCCACTCTACCCAGAATGCACCCCTTCCTCTGTTTGTCCAAACCACTGAGCCACTCTCCAAAGCTTAGCTCTTCTGCCACTGCCTCCACCAGTCCTCCTGGATTGCACCTAGTCTCCCTCTCAGGCAGCTCAATCCCATCGTGCCTGGGCCAGCTGCCTGGCTGCAGTAGGGTAGGGAGGAGGGCAGGGGAGGGACACGGATCTCTCTTTATCCGTGTGTCCTTGGGTGAGCTAATCTCAGAGAAGGACTAGGTAAATGCCCAAATGGATAGAATTCAGAAGAGATTGGGGGCTGCACAAAAAAAGGGCCCTGGAGGGTTCTGGAGGGGGTCAGACCCACAGAGGCCGTGGACCGGGACTCATGACAGCAGGAATGGAAGGGAGCCCAAGGCAGGCAGATATGGGGGGGGGTGTTAGACATATCAGGGGCGTGGCCTGGGAGGGGGAGGCCGACAGAGCCTGGCAAAGGGCAGCTGCCCCAGGCCCCTTTCCTTCCCTGGAGTCCAGGCTAAGGTCCTTCTTGAAGCTCTCCCCTCCACCCAGCCCAGGGCCCCCAGCCCCAGCAGCAGTCTGTGTGTGTAGGGGTGCTCCGGCCCCCTGCCTCAGGGCGCTCCGCCTGGGAAGCCAGACCGCTTCCATGGTCAGGGGAGCAGAGCCTGCACAGCCCCGGGTCTGCCTGGGCGGGCTTGGGAAGATGGCAGGGCACCAGCTATTCACCTGCCTGGACGAGTGCTCGGAAGGTGCCCTCACTTTACCTATAGAGTGTGAGTCAGGTAAGGAGGCTGGCTGCCCCGGGATGCCTTCCTCCAAGGCACCGAGCCCTGTGCCCCTCCACTAGAGACCTGCTTCTCAGCTCCCCTCAAACCCCAGAATTTTGGCATCTGCCTATCACTCCATCCTCTCTTGCCTGGCCCCTCCACCCGGCTGGCGGGGCTCAGCAGCGCCACCTGCTGGAATTCACCCAGCAGCGCAGGAAGGGCTCTGTCTTGATGAGGCAGGCATAGACTGTTATCAGGGATCGTGGATGGGACCTGAGGGGCCACTGAGGCCAACTCCCTCATTTTACAGACGAGGAAACTGAGGCATGAGGAGCATCAGTGACGTGCCCACCATCACAAGGCTAATATGGTAAGGGACTGAGGCAGTGTTTGAAGCCAGGTGTCCAGTGCTCTGGCCGCTGGCCCACCGTGCCCTGTTCGCCATGTTTGCTGTATGTTCATTAAGCACTTTCTGTGGGCACAGGTCATCCTTCCCGCCTTCTCCCCCCATGGCCCACTGTGATCCTCTGTCCTCCTGAGACAGGTATGCTCAGACCTCCTTGAGAACTAGCTGCTTGTTTAATATCTAACGCCGACTGTCTATCGAGACGTGATGGAGGAAATGTTGCTAATGCTGACTAAACTAACGTGCATTGTACTTACACAGTCTTTTATCTTTTGGGAAGCTGGTTATCATTCCCGACCCCACTATGGAGCTGAGTCCTTGCCTGCCTACGTCAGAGAACAGAGCCCAGACCCAGACAAAGCTTGCCTTCCCTGCCCACGAAAGGGCCTCGGGTTAGCGGTGGTAGTAGTGCAGGCAGGAGCAGTGTCCTGACGTTCCCAACAGCTCAGCCAACTCCCCTGCCCTCTCCTCTGTCAGGGAATGGGATGGGACAAGAAGTGTGTCTCAGTGAAGCCAACAAACCCTGGCAACCCAGCAGAGTCAAACTCCAAAACCCCTCCCAGCCCTGACATCCTCTGTTCTCAGGGCCCTCCCAGCCCTGACATCCCCTGTTCTAGGCAACCCCCTCACTCCAACTTTAGAGGAGGAAACCCAGGCCCATAGGAAGCCACACAAGTGACAAATAAGAGGGGGGCCTGGATCCACACGCATCAGCTCCTTCTGCTTCCCTCCGCAGCTTCCTTCTGTAGGAGCTAGAGAGGCCCAGCGACCCTGGAGCCACCTGACTAGCCTGGCCTGGCCCAGCCCATGGAAGCTCAGGCATCGCTGCCCCATTTTGCAGACAGGGTTTGCTTGCTAGAGAGAGTGCAGGAGCCAGGGCCAGGGCCTAGGTCTCGTGGTGCTCCTCCCTCATCCCACTGCTCTAGAATGGGAGCTGAGAAGAGAGCCGAGGGTCCCCTGCTCAAGACCACCTTCCTGAAGTTTAGCTTCCCCTCCTTCCTTGGCACTGCAAGCACAGGATTTCCTCCCTCTCCAGGTAGCCCAGGATGGCTGCTGGGTGACCTCTCCCAGGAACCTAAGACAGTGCCCCAGCACCTGGGGGCTACCTTCAAACATGAACCCGAGCTGGTAAATGCCCCTGTTCTCCAGAGAAGAAAACTGCAGTGCAGAGAAGGCAGTGCTCTGGCCACAGTCACAGCAGAGGAAAGAGGCAGGAAGAAGGTGGGCCCCTGTGCTGAGATGCCCACCAGAGGTGAGGCCAAGTTGTCAGCACGTGCCACCCTGAGAAGCCAGTGCCAAGTCCTGGCAGAGTCCCAGGGGCTAGGAGGAATGGAGAGAAGCAAGGGTAACTGATTGTGTTTGTTGGCAGAAGGCAGCAGCAGTCTGGGCCCCATCTGGGCCTCCCCTGGTGCCCAGGCCTCGGTGTGTGGCTCAGCAATGAACCCAGTGAGTCAACCCCAGGCCAGCCAGGCGGGTACCAGGGACGTGGCAGCAGCAGCAGCAGAGGAGGGAACTCAGGGGAAACAGATGGAAACAAAGGAGCAGTCATGAGCCAGGCTGGAGGAGGGGGCAGGGAAGGAGGGGCTCAGGCTGGGACACAGACACTTTATTAACAACCCGAGGGGACCGAGGAGGAGGAAGAGGCTGGCACCTCAGCCCGCCTACTGGGGGCCCCGCCTCCTGTCCTCCCTCTGTCTCTCTGGGCCTCCATCCCTCCAGAGAAGCAGCCAGGGCCTCCTAAGCTGGGACCGTAAGCGCGGCTGGGGCCACTTACCAGGCTCTGAGGGGAGAAGGCACCAGGGTCCAGCGAAATGCAAGCTTCTTTTCAGGCTTGCCCACTGACCCCCTGCTGGGGAGGTGGCCCCAGGGAGTCCCGCCCCTGCCTGGCTGGGCAGTGTCTCGAACAGAAATCTGGAGGGGGGGCCCCCAACCCCAGGCAGACACAGGGGGCCTGGTGAAAACCCAAAGAGCCTCAGGGATGGCTGGGGTAAGGCTTCGTGTTCTAGGCCTGGCAGGCCAAGCCCAAAGAGAGCCTTCAGATGGTCAAAAGATTGACCCACCATGCAGACAACCCCAAGGAGCCAGGGGTCCCAGGCTTGAGCCCCAGCAAGCCAGAGACAGGGAGCCAGGACCCCAGCGGCCCCAGAGACCTGAGGGTCTCAGTCCTGAGGCAGGGCAAGCCAGAGGCTAGGAGCCAGTCTTCCAGAAACCCAAGTAGACAAAGTCCCAGACCTGAGCTGGAGCCAACTCATGGAATCATGGCATGATTGGGCCCAGCAGGCTGGATCCCCAAAAGGATGGAGTGTCTTCTACGAAGGTCAGTGATAAGCCGGATACAGAGCCTGGAGAATGGCCCGGGAAGGATGGGGTGAGGGGTGGCAGCACAAGCTGGGAGGCTGAAACTCATCTAGGACCCAGGCAATGTCTGCCTGGGGGCAGGAGAAGCAGAGACCCTTGTGGAGGGAGGTGTGATGCCTCCCTGCCCTGCCCAGGGCCTCCTTCCCGGGGATGGGCACACAGAGCCCCCTGGTGGGCAGCCAATGGGCACAGGCCTCCAGAGTCAGCCAGGAGACATGGAGGGGAAAGGTTCCTTCCCAGCCATGGGACAGTCCCACATTACAGATGAGCACAAAGAGTTTCAGGGCCTGGCCCAGGGTCACACAGCTAGGAAGTAACGAATTCACTGGCCATTGGTGGAAGACAAGGTGAGGGAGTATGAGGCATGTCCTTGGGATCTGATGGGGCAGGAGAGGCCATCAAGCTCCCTGCCACCAAGAGGTACCTGGGAGGCTGGTAGTCGATGTGTGGCCAAGATATGGTGCTGGCTGACCGGACACTGGCCCAGAGGCGGCCCAACTCCCCTGGCGGGGGCTGGCACAAGCTAGGGCAGACTGCTAGCCACATGGGCCATATGGAGACCAGGGGGGTTTGGAAGGGGAAGGATGCTGGAACCAAGGGCCTGAGTGACTTGAGCTGGGCCAGCTTCATCGAGGCCCTAAGGCTGGCAAACTCTGGACGCGTGAGATTCTCAGACACTCTGAGCAGAGCTCCAAGCCGCTTCATGTTAAACATTGGATCAGAGCCCAGATTCCTCTTCCACAACACCCACACCCTCCACAAGTGGTCAGCCAGTAGCCTGCTTGCAGACCTCCAAAGACGTGGGGCTCACCACCTCCCCACCAGCCTCTTGCACTCTGGATTTGCTGACATCCAGTAGCTCTTGGCTCTGTCCTCTAGGGTGGAGGAGAACAAGGCTGATGAGGCCGCTGCTCCTGTCATGACTCAGCAGAAGGAAAGAGCCGTCCACCCCGCTGGTGGCCAGGGCTGGCCAGCCCACTTCTGGTGAGATGTTCCAGCTCTGCTGAAGCGGCCTCTGCATTTGTGGGAGCAGGGCTCCCTCCTCCTTGGCCACCAGCCCTGATGGCAATTGGGGTGGGCTCTGCTGAAGGCCCTGGTCAGGGGAGTGGCTGGGGGGGGCGGCAGAATGTGCCGCCACTGACCCCCCTCCCCACCCCAATCCAGGAGGAGATTCCCTCTGCCAACACAGGTAGCTCTGAGGCAGCGGGTCTTTTCCCCTGGGACTGTTTTCTCCTCTATAACCGGGGTTCCTGTCTTCTTTCCCCTTCCTTTCTCAGCCGTTGACACCCACTTCCTCCCCTGCACTCTCACATCCTCACCCTTCTGCAGCCTTTGAGAAAGTCCCATGACCCCCTCCTCCCTCTGTCCTACTGCACTGGATGGCCTCATTGGCTGCCACGGACCAAGTGCCTGTCATGGCTCCAGGGCTGGTGTGCCACCCAGCTGCCTGTCCCACCCGGGCCTCTCTACTGCCCTCCCCTTGCATCTGGATGTCCAGCATGTCCAAAACAGACCTCCTGACCCTTCTCCCCAAACAGTCAAGGGCAACAGCCCCTCCCTGGGCCCTCTGCTGACTGTGCGTCGTCCTGTTCTCTGTAGCACTTAGCACAGTGTCTGGCACTCGCTGACTTGCCCCCCTCCCCATCTCTGATCTGTTGTCCAAGTCTGTGGACTTCCTCTGCAGCATGTCCCAAACGGGCCGCCACCCCGTACCAGCCTTCACCACCTCATGCTGCTAGGGTGGGGGTGGGGGTCTGCCAGCTTCACTCTCCCCACTGCCCCTCTCCAGTCAGTCACCAAGGGCCTGATGTCACCCCCTACTCAACACATTATTCTGTGGCTCCCTATTCCTCCAGCATCAAGTCCAGGATCCTTCATATTCCGGTCCCCTCCCACCCCGCCAGTCTCCTTACACCTTCCTCACCCCCATGGGCCCTGGCCTCCCAGCTGTTCATCACACACAACCCTGCATCGATGGGCTCTGAGCATTTCTCTGGCTGCTCTTCCTCCTCACCTCAGAGGACGCCTTTCCCAATCCCTTTCTCCAATCTCCTGACCTCAACAAGCCTCCCTAAGCAGAGGAGGCCCATTTCTCGATGGCCAGCCCCAACACCCCCCAAGTTTCAGGCCCACATCACCAGTTACGTGGTAGGTACCTCGAAGACGACGTCCCTACAGCCTCACGCGTCTGACCTGCCTGTGCTGGAAGTCGGGAGCTTCCTCTCTTCCTTGACTTCCAATTCTATGGGATTCACCTCCATCTTTCAGGCCCCCAGACTACCCTGTCACTGTCCTGGACCCTTTCCTCTGCCTCGACCCCAGCTGTGGTATCGGCTGCACCTTGCCATCATCTCCCACAGTCAAGGCCTTCCCTCCACTCACAGGCCTTCATCCCTCTACCTCAGTCCCCCAGACCAGCACCTCCTCCTCCAGGGCAGCTCTGACCGAGCGCCTGGCCTCCAGATCAGCTTCAGTGGATGCTCAAAGAGAAAATTCTCTGTCTGCTTTTTAAAGCCCTTCAGAGCCTGCCCTGAGCCTCCCCTTTCTACTTCAAACAGAATGACTGCATGCATGAACATACTTTAAACACATTAAATAACATAGCTGTTACCTCCCCATTAGAACTCACGGCTCTTTGAGAGAAGTTTCACCGTTCCCTCCCCGGTGCCTAGCACAGTGTTCAGTGAGGAACTGCCCACCAGCCCCAAGTTCCCCAGAGCTTTGGACATCTCAACAAGTCTCAAAGGGACCATGCTACCCGTGTTTCCCCAGATCATCCCCCCTTTGTGTGGAAGGCCTCCTCACCCTTCCTGCCTCCCGGCTTGACAACCTTGGTGTTATCCTCCCACAGCCGCCCCTTTGGGTCAGGCCCCGAGCTGTGGCCACACATCTCATCCTCCCTCCACACTGCCTAACTCAGACCACATTCCCTACCTCCACAACCATCTCCAGTGACTCCCTACTGCCTCTAAGTGTAATGAAACTCCTACCCAGGCGTCTTTCCAGCACTGAATGGTCCAGCTAACACAACACTCATCTCCCACCTCCAAGTCTTTGCACTGGCTGCTGTCTGTGCTTGGAAGGCACTCCCTCCTCATCTCCCCGGTCTCTTCCTTCAAGAGCCCCACAAGCACCACGCTCTGCATGAAGCCTCTCGATTACTCTCCCTGGCCCCACCCACCCAGCTCTGATTTTGTGCACAGTTATGTCCCTCTGGTCCCCCCATTAGACTCAGCTCCTTCTGGGCAGGAGTGGTTTTATTTATCCATTAGCCGTGTCCCCAACGCCCAGCGGCAGATGCTTGTTGACCAGACAGCCTGTCCACGCCTTACCTGAAGAGTCAGACCCAGCTTAGCAAGAACTCTAGGCCCTTCTCTGTGGTCCGTTAGAGAACTCCCCGAGACTGGACAAATAGGAAGGTCGACAGGCCCTTCCCAGGACTGCTCAGAGGCCCAAGTCAGAACTGGGAGTGGGATGGGCAGACTGAGGAAGCCCAGAGAGGGGAGGGGCCTGGTCTAACACCCAGGGCTCAGAAGAGCTGCTTACAGCGTCGTCAGCACCCGAGGAAGTGTCCCTTTGACCCCCACGGGCTGCCTTCCCTCCTCCTTCCGGCCTCTGCCACATCTCCTACCACCCAAGGTCAGCCCCTCCTCCCCTCTCACCGGGACTACAGCAACAGCCTCCAATCCTGTCTCCCTGCCTCCAGCCTCCGCTCTCATCTCCCATCCGCCCATTCCCCAGGTGCCCTACGGAGCCTCTGCTAGCAGCCAATACAAGGGGCTGAGCCCTGGAGCAGACCTCTACATGCCCTCTATGCCCCAGCCCAGCACTCCATCTCTAGCTTCCTTCAAGCCTCAGAACAGGAGGGCGGTCGGATCCCCAGCTGCCTGAAGGGGCCATTGTGGGGAAGCACTCTCTATCCCCCACCCCCAGCCCTGGCCTTCCCAGCAGCACCCCAAGGAAAGGGCAGGACCAGTGGAGGACCGCATAGGCTCAAGTATGCCAAAACACCTTTTATTTGGCTGGTGAGCCTCTTGCCCCTCCCTCACCTAAAGGAGAGGTGATACCCAAAGATGGAGCTCCAAGCCCTCAAATCGGACCACAAGCACAGAGTCCTGCTCCTCAGAGGAGATTATCTTCGTTTCTGGAAAATATTGCCCCTGCCCATTCCACGTCCTCTTCCTCTGGCAGCCACTAGACAGGGGGAAGAAAAACCAGAATAAGTGAGGCCAGGCATGAGGGTACACACACATGCAGGTGAGCGAGTGTGTGGCCTCCCTTCCCTTCCCCCTCGGGCCCAGTCAGACCTTCCCAGAAGCCTCCCCCACGTTTACATCTGGGCAAAGCTGAGAAAGCCCATGCCTCAAAGCCCAGGGCAGGCTGGCGGGTGGGCGGGCTGGCTGGCTACCCACCCTGGGCCTTCAGAATGGCTGCTTTCCCCCGGCCGGCCCCGGAGCCTTGGTTTTTATTCTTCATGCTTTTCAACATCGGGGCATTCTTCAACATGTCCGGCAAGATCAGGAAGCGGATTTTGCTCCCACGGATGTAAACCTGCTCCAGCTGGGCAACTCGTCCATCTCTGTACGTGACTGTGATGTTTGACATCTGCAAGGGAACCCAGTGGCCAGTCAGGGGCCCTGCCCCTGCCTCTGAGGGAAAGAAACTGACAACACATTTGGCAAAACAGTCCAGAGGCACAGCAAGGTAAAAGGTACAGAGGTGGGAGACGGACAGAGCTGGTCTGGCTGGATCACAGCTCGCAAGGCTAAGTAAAGTTAATGAGGTTGCAGGGGGCCAGATTATGAAGGGCGTCAAATCCAAATAAAGTCTGTCTGACCCCAGAGGCAACGAGGGGCCTCTGGAGGTTGAGGAGGGGGGCAATGAGGTCAGATCTGTACACTCTTTGGCATGTGTGCCCGGGATAGAGTTCAGGCAGGGGGACCCACCAGCAGGCCCCTGGCACAGCACAGGCACGAGGCGGTGCTCCCGGCACCAGAGTGGTGGCCATCACAAAAGTAAAAGCAGGTCTTGGCAGCACACTGGACCCAGGGGCGATGGGAGCTAAAGCTAATGAGGCCAAGGGCAGGAGCCTGGGAGGATGGCGCTGAGGAGGAAGGGGGACTGGGGAGGGCCACGTTCAGTTTAAGATGCTTATGAGTCATGACATCCAAATGCAATTGGTGATGTGGGACAGAGCACCCAGAGGTGCAGAGATAACGGAAGCCACAGATATTGGGAAAATCACTGAGGTGGGGGCAGAGCCAGAGGGGACATCTACCGCCGGCCTTAGGAGACCCCTTCCAACGCTGAGATTCTGGGTGCCAGACGCCCCCCCACCCCCACGGCACCTCTGCTTCCCTGACCCGGCACACTTCCAATGAGGCCCCTGGACTCCTCCCCCTCCCAGATCCAATGGAGTACCAAGGCCCATCCATTTCACCTTGGCAGAATCTCTGACCCTGCCGCTCCCCCTGTACAGACCCTCCTCACAGTCTCCCTGCCTCGGTCTCTCCCCTCTCCAGGCCGTGCCCTGTTCAGCCACCAAAGCGATTTTCCTAAAGTGAAGGTCTGACCACATCACCCCCTCCTCTCTACTCTACGGCCTCCAGGAGCATATACGAGAGGCTGTTTGGCCTTCAAAGCCTCTATGATTAGGCCTCTCCCACCTCTCTTGGCACCTTCTGCTTTCTCTGCTCCTCATACTCTATGATCCAGCTGTAAATACTGTTCGTCAAACAAAACACTCCACTTCCCACCTCTGTACCTTTGAACTCATTGGCCCTCTCCATGCCTAGAACACCCTCCCTTCTCCCCACCTCTGGGAGTCCAAACGCAAGGTTCGAAGCCCACCTTCTCTGAGAAGCCTCTGCTGGTCCTCCCCTCTGGGAGGACCTTCCCCTGTTGTACAGAGTCTCATCCCTGTAAGTTCCCTCAGGGGAAGGGCAGAGTCTGCCCTGTTCTCCCCAGCACTGACTCCGCCAAAGCCTGCCTGCCTGCTTTTTAGTCAGCTCCTCTCATCGTGTTCCCTGCTTCCTGGCTTGCCCACCTCCTGTCTCTGGGCTCCGGTTCACAGCCTGCAGTTCAACTGTCCAGCCCCCTGCCTGCTGGCACCACCATCCAGTCCCTGAACCTGCAACCTCAGGGCAGCCTTGGCTCAAACCATTCCCTCTCCAACCCCTCCTACCACCTCCTCCTTGAAACCTTCCCTGCATCCTCGCACTGGGAGCACTAGGCCTGAGTCAGGGAAGGCCAAATTCAAATCTGACCTCAGAAAACAGGCAGGTGACCTTGGGCATTAGTTGGGGTCCCCAACCGGGAAATGGGATCATAACAGCGCCTGCTCCAGGCTTGCTGTGAACCTCAAAGGGGATAATTAATACCTATCAAGTGCTCTGCAAACCCAGAAGCATGACACAAACGTTATTACTGTTATAATTATTATCACTAGGGAGGACACCTCCAAGGCCACCAGCCCCTGCACCTGGCCTGCCACCAAAAAGACCTCAGCACTTGCCTGCATGGGTGGCCGGGCCCAGCAGTGCCCCCTCCCACAAGGAGGCTCAGGCCTTCCACCGGCACCAAGTGAGAAAACCCCCTCTGCCTGCGCTGCTTGCTACCTGTACCTGGGGCGTGGTAAGGCTGAAGTCGGCAGGGGAGGGAGGGAAGCAAGACTCGAACCCAGGTTCTCGGGCTGTTTTGGGGTTGAATTCCATCACCCCAAAAGACGACATTCACAGAGAGAACAATGATCGTCCCTCATCACAGTATCAAGTTTGGAGACTCCAGCAGCCTTGAAAAGAAGGTAAGGAACCGGGGCCGAGGTCCTGGGGGGCCACAATGTCACCCTATCTGATGCCCTTGGCTGTTGCTGCCAGTGGACTTCCTCTTCAAGGTTTCCTGGGTCTTGGTTACTAACTATGGGAACTCTCTCCACACATGACCTTGTGTCATCAGGGGCCACATCCCCAACCGTGGCCTGGGCCCTACCTACCTATCCCCCTGGCACACAGGGCACCCGTAACCCAAATCCCCCTCACCAAATGAAGGTGGGGAACAGACCAAGGCTGTGCCATCTTCCACCAAGGTCAAGTGGAGCTGCGATGAGGTACCTGGCAGTTCATGTTGTCCTCGGCCTCGATCAGCTTGCCGCGGTATACCTCCCCAGTATTGGTTTCACAAGTGACGATGTGTCCCTCCGCTTCATGCAGGACCTTGATTGGGACGCCAATCGACATTCTGAGACAAAGAAGCTGCAGGCACCAAACAGGGAACGCTGGTAAGGAGCGTCAGGAAACCAGGCTCTGCTGACCTGTGGGCGCTAGGAAGCCACTCAACCAGGCGGTGCGGTAGCCAGGCCTTCTCCAAGCCTAGCACCTTCCAGAGCTGGGGGCCCCTGGCTCAGTGCTCACCAGGACCCAAATCAGGCAGGGACAGCCCAGAAACCCCGAGGGTCCCCTCCAGCTCTCCGTACCAAGGCCCAGGCCCAAGGGAAAGGAGGCTGTCACACAGAGAAGACTGACAAGCAAGGGCAATTCTGGGGGCCAGAAAGAGAAGGGGGCCCCATCTCACCAGATATACCCCCTCCCTACCCTGGGGAGGCATCCAGAACCAGGAGGAGACAGACATTTCTGGCCAAGATCAAAAGACTCCAAATGTCTCTAGAGGGGGCATCTTAGTGGCGCACCCCTATGCCCAAGGTCCAGGAGGCCTGGGCAGCACCTGGGATAAGGAGGAGGAAAAGAAGGAATAAACATTTATGTAGCACCTACTAAATGTCAAGCACTATACGAAGTAAGCACTTTGTAGATACTGCCTCAGCTGACCTTTGCAACAACCCTGAGAAGTAGGTGCTGTTATTATCCCCATTTTACAGAGGGGGAAACTGATTCATACAGAGGTGATTCAGAGCTTGTAACAGAGCTAGTAAGTGTCTGAGGCAGGACATCAACTAGTTGATCAGGAGCCCACTAGGAGCCAGGCACCATGCAGAAAGAAGGACGCTTGCCATCTAGGGAGACCGAGCTCAAACAACTCTACACAAAGCAATCTACCGGCAGAATAGATGGGAAGTGTGTAGCAGAAATAGGGCAGTTAGGGAAGGCAGCCAGTGTGTGGAAGGGGGATTGGAAGCCCGGGAGACCAGCAGCAGGCAGGGAGAGGAGGGGGAGGGGGGAGGAAGGAGGGGGGGGAACAGGAGGTGGGGAGAGGGAGGGAGGGGCCGGTGGGGGAGGAGGGGGCTCGGCACGTCAGCACAGGGCTGTGCAGTGGGGGGCGACAGGGGCGGCCTGCGCTTAGGGAGATCCCTCTGGGGTCTGAGTGGAGGATGGACTGGAGGGGGAGACTAAGGCAGGCAGCCCTCGCGCCGCCCGCGCCAAGGTCCAAGGGAGAGGGGGTCTGCACCAAGGGAGGGAACAAGGCTTACGGCGTGGGGTGGGGCGGGGATGGGGCTCCACCCCCAGCCCGGCTCCACCCCGGCCCCTTCCTTCCCCGGGCCCAGGGCATTCCCTGAGGAGGCGCACAGAGACCCCGAGGCCGCTGGGGAGAGGGAGGCCCTGCCAGGCAAAAGCGCGGGGGCGGGAGGCATGGCCTTGAACGCCGAGCCAAAGCCTCTGGCCCACGCACTGCTCTCCTCCTCCTCCTCTCCCCGCCCCCCAGTTCCCATTCCCCTCCACCCCCACCCCGGGCCGCGCGGACCCCTCGGCCCGGCCTCACCTGCAGCCCCGGCCCCGGCTGCGGTTCCGGCTCCGGAGGCGCGAACGTGCGACGAACAGGGGTAACTGAATGGCGGGCCTCGCGGTCCCAGCATGCACCGGGCCCGGAAGTGGGGCGGGCACTTCCGGAAAGCCCTCTGCCCCTAGGCGGTCCGGTGGGGGCGGGAGAAGAAACTCGAAATGATGCCGGGGTGGGGCCTGGGGCGCGTGCGCGAGAAAGGGGCGGGGGGAGGAGGACGGGAGGGGCGGGGCTCGGGCGTGCCGCTGCGCCGTGCGTAAGCGTCGGCAGCGTGCTGTGCGCTGGCGCATGCGCCGTGTGCGATATCGCGTCCTCCCGGGAGCGGCAGTGGCGGCGGCGGGGCCGGAGAGGGGCTGAGGAGCCGAGGCAGGGGCCGAGGCCCGTGCAGGAGCGGATCGGGCCGGGGCCATGGCCGAGGCGCCCCCACAGCCCGAGCCCCGGCCCGTCCGCCCGCAGGCGACATGAGGGAGGAGGCCGAGGGAGCCGGGGCCGAGCCCGGTGAGGGCAGCCGGGGAGACTGAGGCACGGGCAAGGGGAAGGGGAGGGATATGGAGTGAACCCCTTCTGACAGCCGGGGAGACTGAGGCACGGCGTGGGGGTTCATTTACGGGCTCCTAGACTGCTTTGACCGCGGAGGAGACTGAGGCAGGCACGATCAGGGGGGTCCATTTACTGGGTCCTACACCGTTCTGACAGTAAGGGAGACTGAGGCACGGACAGTAGGGGCGTGTATGAAGTCAGCCTGTTCGGAGGGGAGGAGACTAAAGCACGATCTTGGGGCCCCATTTACGGGGTCCTTGACCGTTCTGACAGCCGGGGAGACTAAGGCACGGCCTGGGGACCCATTTACGGGCTTCTAGACCGTTCTGATGGTGAGGGAGACCGAGGCACCGTGGGGATTCATTTACGGGGTGCTAGCCTGCTCTGACCGAGGCTAACGAGCATTTTATGAGCATCTCCTGGATGCCCAGCCTGGAGCTCTTCGGGAGATCCGGAGACAAAGGGCAGAGGAGCCCCGGGACTGGGCAGGGCGGGACTGGGCAGGGGCTGGAGCTGAATTTGAACTCGGGGCCTCAGGCTGACGCTCCCAGGGCGGAGCCAGCACATTTGGAGGGCGGGGCGGGGCCACTGTTGGCCATTGAGGGGCCCCCACCCCGCCCTCCTCCGATGCTCGTTCTCTGTCCCAGGCGACTTCGTGCAACTGAAAGTACCCATCGTGCAGCAGCTGTACCACTGGGACTGCGGGCTGGCCTGCTCCAGGATGGTGCTCAGGTGAGGCGGGGCCCGGGCCAGTGACCCCTCCCCTGGGCGCTGGGATTGGCCGCTGGCCTACCCTTCCCGCCCCTCCCCCGAGCTCGATGCCACTCCTGCTCCGTCCCTTTCCGCCCCCCTTCTCCCTTCAGAGCTCGGTAATTGGCCAGCGGCCCACCGCCCTCTGTTCTTCCCCCCCGCCCCCCTCCCACGCTCCTGGACATCGTGATTGGTAGCTTCCCCACCTGGCCCCTCCCTTGTCTTCCCCTCCGAGCTTGGTAATTGGCCGGCGGCCCACCCTTGCTTGCTATCTCTTACCCCGCCCCACCCCCGCTCCCGAAGCTCGGTGATTGGTCGGTGGCCCACCCGCGCCCTCCCCCACTCCCAGGTACCTGAAGCTCCTAGAGGACGACTCGGCGTTCGAGCAGGCCCTGCAGGAGCTGCAGCTCACCCGCAGCATCTGGACCATCGACCTGGCCTACCTGATGCGCCACTTCGGGGCCCGCCACCGCTTCTGCACGCGGACGCTGGGCGTGGACAAGGGCTACCGCAACCAGGTGGGGCGGGGAGAGGGGGGATGGGCAGGCTCTGCTGCCCCCCTGGCAGCCCCACCGCCTCCCCGGCCGGGGCAGTACCAGGCCAGTGCCTGGCAAAGCCTGAACGCCGCCTTCTCCGGTCAGTCCTTCTACAGGAGACACTTCGACGCTGAGGAGAGCCGGGTGAACCAGCTGTTCGCACGGGCCTCGTCCTGCAAGGTGTTGGTGGAGAAGAGGTGAGGCCCCTCACCTGCCCCTGGGCCCCCCTGAGCCACCGATCGCCCCAGGGCTAATAGAGAGAGTGGCGGCCGGCCCGGGCTCCGGAAGGGCCGGAGGTACTGAGGTGTAGAGAGGACCTGAGTTCAGATCCTGCTGCATGCCCACCTTGACAGCGCCAGCTGCTTTGCTGTCCCAGCTCTGACTCCCTGGTTGGAAAGTGTTGGAGAGTGTAGCCTTGATGCTGATTCTACAGATGGGGAAACTGAGGCTTAGAGAGGTCACCCAGCGAGTAATCATTGCCTTAGCTCTCCCTGCTGGGCAACTTGGCCAAGGAGCACCTGCCATCTCACACATGGCAAAGGGGCACCCACCGCCTCCACTGGCAGCACCTTCCCTCAGTGACCACTCTGGTGCTATCCCTGCCTCCTCCATCCTCCCGACTCTACCCTGAGCCCTCCTACACTCTCAGCTCAAGGCCTTTCACTGCCCTGACCTGACCCCAGACTTCACCAGAGCCCTGGCAGTGAACGCTATCAGCCGCCAAGCTCTGGGATCTGGCTGTTGTCATTGTAGAACTTGTCCGTGGGCTTCTCTGCACCCACCCCTTCCTCATTTCTTATAGGCCCATAGTATTCCATCACATCTACGGCCCAGCTTGTCCAGCATTCCCCGGGTGAAGGGCCTTGCCTCAGTTTCCAATTCTCTGCTACCACACACAGAGCTGTTATAGATATTTCTGTACATGTGGGTCCTTTTCCTCTTGCTTTAATCTCCTTGGGGTAGAGACATAGGAGCAATACTGGTGGTTTCCTCTCTTTTGGGGCATCATTGCAGATTGCTTTCCACCTGCCTGGGCTAGCTCCCAGTTCCCCCAGCTGCCCCAGCCCCTCTCACACTGCTCACTTTTGGCCAGCTTTGCCAGTCTGACGGGGCTGAGATGGAACCTCAGAGTTGGCTATTTCTCTAATCAGCAGTGATTTAGAGCATGTTTTCACGTGGCTCTTAATGACTTGGATTTTTCTGTTGAAAACTGCCCATTTATCAGCTGGAGAGGGGGCTCCCAGTTCCATCTCTGTAATCTTAGACATGAGACCTTTATCAGAGAAACTTGCTCTCTCGGAAGATCTCCACCCCCCCCACCCGCGCTATGCTGCTTCTCCTCTGGGACCTTTGGGTCTCTATCTGGCGTGAGCCCCACTGCCTGCTGGGCAGCCTCCCTCTGACTCCATCGCATATTTGAGAGCTGGCCCTGTCAGGATCCTCCCTCCCTTTCCCGCTCTCTGTCATTGTCTGGCTGGCCATGACCTTTGTCATCATTCCACCAGCCCATCTCTCCCATCTCACTCTTTTCAAGGTGATTCTTGGTGCCCAGACCCCTCCCTGGGCTGTCGGGAGCTTCTGAGGCAGTGGCAGGAGCTTCGCAAACCCAGGCTGCTGTGACCCCTCCCTGCTTTGTGTCCTTCCCTGGCCGTCTGTGCCTTGGTCCAGACCATCGATGTCAGATCCCTGGGGCTCTCCACGGGAGACCTCTTCCCACATTTTCATCAAACATCCAGGCTTCTTGTTTGACCCTTCAAGCCCATTCTGAATTCGTTTCATGGTGTTCTCTAGTCCATGGGGGCCCACTAGGTGGCGCCATAGTGCACAGAACCTGGGTTTCTGCGTTGAAATCCAGCCAGAGACACTTCCTAGCTGAGGCACTATGGCCAGGTCACTTCACCCTGTTTGCCTCAGTTTCCTTATCTGTCACATGAGCTGGAGAAGGAAATGACCAACCCCTCCAGAATCTCTGCCAAGAAAACCCCAGAAGGGTCGTGAAGAATCAGACGTGACGAAACCACAGAAAAGTCCACATCTCTGCCTTTAGCCCAAAATTAGCATGACATGTGATGTCAGAAGCTTCGATCGAGGCAAGTTCTGCGTCCCAGCGGCGACCCCCCACTTCTAGCTGTCCACAAAAGGCTGTGGGATTACGGGGACTTGAGGACAGCTTTGCCAAAATCAGCCTTCACTTTGAGTTTCCTGGTTGCTGGCATTGCGCTTTTCACCCCCTCCCTTTCTCCTCTCACAGAGCCATCCTGCAAAGGGAAGAATGGGGAGCGGGGGTGGGGGAGCCTGGCATTGGCTGCCCACGGTCCATGCCTGTGACCCCTTCCCTAGGGGAAGGTAGCTGATGGACCCAGTGGCCTTTGCCCTGCTACCTTTTCCTTCCTCATGCTTCTCCTGGAGGTCAAACGCTTTTCTTCTGCAGCTCTAACCATATCTCGCCAAGGCCTCTCAAATGCCCCCTCCCCAAATCCAGTCTCCTGCCCAGCTCTTGTGCCCTCCAGGTCTCTTTCCTAGGGGCATCCTTCTGCTCTCGTCCAGCTCCTTTTCCTGGGAGAACCAGGAGTGGTCTCCTGCTGGTCTCCTGCTCCCAAGGCTGGCACCCCAGCCGCCTTGTCTGTTTTGGCATTGAAGCCCCTCTTCTCCAGTTTCACTTATGTTTTCCATCTCTCTAATGAAGTGCCCAGTGGAGAGGATGGCTTCTCCTTTCCTTGAAGAGAGGACAGCTCTCACTGTCTGCAGGGCACCAGTGCATTACCTTACCTCTGCCTGCTGGCTGGGAGTGGGACCCTCAGACTTTTGTACTTCTTGCCAGTGGCTTCCTGGAGAGCATGTCATTGCTCCAGCTTGTCTTCTCCCCCAGGGACCCTCCTGTGACCCCGTGGCCCTTTCTGCCTGACCCCCTTGAAGGGTCCCTCAGCGGTGAGAGTTTCCTTGGAGTTTCAATAGCTGTCTTCACTCCATGATCAGAATTTGGAGTTTGCAGGGGAGGGCAAGCTTGGGAGGTCAGCAGAGAGCATTATGGGGCCAGTGGATCACCTGTGCTTGGCAGCCTCCTTAGACACCCAGACCGCCAGGTCCCTGTGATGGCACAGGAAAGAGCCTGCTCTGTGTCCTGAGTGTGGCTCTTCCTTTTTTGGGGGGTTTCTGCACCTTCCTTCTCTGCCTGCCTGTCAGTGAGCATGTCTTAGCCACGTACTTTGTACTGAGCACTATGCGAGGGGCTGGGGAAACAAAGGATCCAACAAGCCTTCCTCACAAGAGCCCTCCAACCCCAGCCTGCACTGACTCTGGGAGACAGCCAAGCAACAGAATGAGGTAGACAGGGAAATCTGGCTGCATGCAGCAGCAAGGGAGGAGGGCCTCCAGGAGGCAGAGGGGAGGGAATTTGAGGCCTGGGAGCCAGACCATCAGCGTAGAAAGCGTTATGGGAGAGGGAAGAGGAGCCTGGGATAGCTGGGTGGGACTGTGGGACATCCCCTCTACATTGGGACTGTCCCCATCGCAGTTTCGATGTATTGAGGGTCAGCATAAGAAATGGAAATTTAGGGGAGGTTTTGCAGAAGCCGCAGACACACAAAGGCCAGCAGACAGCACAGAAAAAGTTTAGAAACTCTGAGGTGCATAAAATGTATGTATATTGTTGTAAAATATCAACATATTTTATCTTTTAATACCATAATAATTGAGACTTCTTCTCTGATACAGAGGGAGGGCCAAAACATTTTACGCAGATTATCCAGAACGCTGGGGGGGGGGGACCATGCCCTTACCGCCAGGATGTGGAAAGGATTACTAATGTCCAGGGAGACTGGGAAAATAGATCAGGGCCAGGCGCTGAAGGGCTCAGAAAGCTGAACAGAGGAGTTTCTGAGGAGAGAGGCGATAGGAAGCCAGCGTAGTTGGTCGAAGGGGCCAGGCGCGTGGTCTGAGCTGCCCTGAAGGAAATTACCTGGGCAGCAGTGTGGGGGATAGCATCTGGGGGGAGGGGATGAGGACTGTGAGGCTGCAAGAGGAGGGCAGAGTTGGGTGCTCAAGATAACGGAAAGAAACAACTGGTAGCGTGGATGGCATGGAGAGAAAGGCCGCGGATTGTAAAGCCATGGGGACGCCAGCTCGGGAGACAGACTCACAGCACCACTATTGATTTGTTGGGTTTTTGTTTGTTTGTTTGTTTTTTAGGCAGTTTGGGTTAAGTGACTTGCCCAGGGTTGCACAGCTAGTATCAAGTGTTTGGTCTGAGGCTGGATTTGAACTTGCATCCTCCTGACTTCAGGGCCCATGCTCTATCCACTGCACCACCAACTGCCCCAAGTAATCATAGAATTGCTCTTTTTATTTTTTTGCTAGGCCATGGAGTTAAGTGACTTCCCCAGGGTCACACAGCTAGTAAGTGTTATGTGTCTGAGGCCAGATTTGAACTCAGGTCTTCCTGACTCCAAGGCTGGAGCTCTATCCACTGCGCCACCTAGCTGCCCACGTCTATTGATTTGTGTCTACTCGCCCTACAGATGTTACTGAGCCATGGGAGCTGAGGAGCTTACCAAGCGAGAGTCCTAGGTCAGTGTGTTGCAAATGTTTGGATCTCAGGATGGCTTTACACTCTTAAACATGATTGAGGACCCTTCCTCCCAAAAAGCTTTTGTTTAGCTTGAATTATGCCTTTTGATATTTACCATTAGAAAGAGAAATGTCTGTAGTAGTATTGTGAAAACAGATTTGACCTTATGGGCCCTCTGAAAGGGTCTGGGGAAGTCCCCAGACCACACTTTGGACCCAGGAGAGAACCTTAGGGGATAGAGGGGTGACAGTGACACCCACAGTTAGTGGGTAAGACCTAGATGAAGGTCCATCCAAAGAGACTGAGAAGGAGCAGCCACACAGGGAAGAAAATCGGGAGAGAGCCGAGTAAGGAAGACCTAGAAAGCATCCAAAGGGGGTGCTAGGCGGTTTCAGAGGAGGTCCAGGAGAATGACCATGGAGAGAAGGCCCTGAGGCTAACTGGGATGGTGGGCCTCTGTAGAGGAAACAGCTCCAGGTGAATGATGAGGTCAGAAACCAGACGGCAGAGTTAGGAAGAGAGGAGATACCAAGAGTGGGCGGACTTCTCCAGGATCTCGGCTGCAAAGGAGAGGCCCACAGCTTCAAGGAGATGCATGGGAGCACAGAGGGTGGATGGAGGATGGACATGGACATGTTTGTAGGCAGCAGCCAGAAGATGGAGAGAGAAAAGGTGAGGGATGGGCTGAAGGGTTTGCCTTGGCTGGGAGAAGGACATCAGCCAACAAGCACCTATTCTATACAAGGCACTGTGCTAAGTGCCAGGGATACAAAGAAAGATAAAAGACAGTCACTGCCCTCAAGGAGCGCTCAGTCCAGTGGGGGAGCTAGCACGCAAATAACTGTGTGCATACTAAGTATAGGCAGGTTAAATTGGGAGGTAAGAGAGGAAAGGCCCTGTTCTTAAGAGGGATGGGAGGAGGCATCTTGCAAAAGGTGGAATTTAAGCTGGGAGTTGAAGGAGGGCAGGAGACCAAAATGAGGAGGGAGAGCACTCCAGGCATAGGGCACCTCCATAGGAAATGCCCAGCGCCAGGGATGGACGGTCTTGTGTGAGGAGACCCAAGGAGACCAAGGTCTCTGGATCACAGAGTACATGGGATGGGAGTAAAGTGTAAGAAAGAAGACTGGAGAAGGGAGGGGCTGAGGCTATGAAGGGTTTGGAAGGCCAGACAGATGATTTTCTGTTTGATCCTGGAGGCCATAGAGAGCCACTGGAGTTTATTAAATTAGGGCAGGGAGGTGTTACATGGTTGATCCTGCACTTTAGGAAAATCACTTTGGTGGGTAAATGAGGATGGCTTGGAGTGGAGAAAGATAGGCAGGCCTCCCCAGCAGCTACTGCAATAGTCCAGGCATGGAGTGAGGTTCTGTGCCAGGGTTGGGGCAGAGTGAGAGAAGGGACCATATTGGAGAGATGCTGCAGGTGAAATGGACCAGAACTGTAGTAGAGGTGAAATGGACCAGAGATGTAGCAGAGGTGAAATGGACCAGAGAAGCAGCAGAGGTGAAATGGACCAGAGATGCAGCAGACGTGAAATGGAGCAGAGATGTAGCAGAGGTGAAATCCACTAGAGATGCTGCAGAGGTGAAAGGGACAGGCTTTGGAAAGATACTGAATGTGGGGGTCAGAGACAGTGAGAAAGCCTAGGTTGACTCCCAGGAGAGGAAAGAAAGGGAGGGGTACCATGTGAAGGGGTTTTGGGGTAAATAAAAGGAGCTCATCTAAGGGCATCACCCAGCTCAGATCCTTAATTTAAAGTCTATGAGACAGTTCCAGAAGATTAGATTGTTGTTCAGTTAGAGGACAGTCCTTGAGAGAGAGCATGTGTTTAGTCCAGAGGTCAGAGCACACTAGCCCTAGGGGATTGGCTGGGCTTAGGAATCCAGGCCATCACAGGGCACTGTTGAAACTTGGCCCCATGATGGGGATATTTAGCTTGGAAGAGCCAAGGGGGAAAGCGATGGAAGCTGTCAATGAAAAAGGTTCAAGCTGTTGTCCCTTGCCCCAAAGGGCAGATAGAACATGAGAGCTCTCCTAATGTGGAGCAGCCAGGCCAAGGAGGATCTGTCGCCTCAGTGCTTCCAGATGTCAGAGCCACACAGTATTAGTGCTCATGTGGCCCAGTTACCCCCATCTGCCAGAAAAGGTCAGTAAACATTTGCTGTGGACACAAAGAAAGGCAAACGACAGTGTGTGCCCAGGAGGGGCCCATAATTCCACGGGGCAGACAGCCAGCCTCCTTCTGACAGGTTGGTGGGGCTGGTGAGGGAGGCTTTGAGAGGCCCACGCCCCCCCCAGGGTCAGGGTTTCCCCAGGACTGAGCTCAGGCTTCCCCTCCCCCAGCACAGTGACTGTCCGAGACATCCAGGAGCACCTGGCCCAGGGGCATGTGGCCATCGTCCTGGTCAATGCAGTCCTGCTCTTGTGTGACCTGTGCTCCAGCCCCGTCAAGTACTGTTGCTTCCTGCCCATCGGCCAGAAGTGTTTCTGCAGGGGTCCTGACTACCAGGGCCACTTCATTGTGCTGTGTGGCTACAACAGAGCCTCCGAGAGCATCTTCTACAATAATCCAGCCTACGCAGACCGTGAGTAGCTTCTGCCAAGCCATGCTGGTGACGGGCAGCTCACTAGCTCAGAGTCAGACAGGCAGAAGGGAAGATGTACGTGGGCTGGAGTGAACCTTACTTAAGAAGGGCTTGGGGGGCCGCTGTGACAGCCCGGCACCTGAGAAGATGCATGTGGGCCGGAGTGGCCTTAAGAAGGGCTCGGGGGGCCGCTGTGACAGCCTGGCGTGTGGGAAGATGCACGTGGGCCGGAGTGGGCCTTAAGAAGGGCTTGGGGGGCTGCTGTGACAGCCTGGCATCTGGGATGTTTTTTCCACAGGCATGTGCAGCACCAGTGTGACCAACTTTGAGGAAGCCAGGACTAGTTATGGCACTGATGAGGATATCCTTTTTGTCTACACCGACAGCTGACCTCCGGCCTGGCCAACACCCAAGCTGCTGCTGCTGCTGAACCCTCAGACAGCAGGTGTGGACAGGGAGCCCCCCAAGCCCCAGGCTTTGTGCCTACACCCACTGCCCGGCCTGCCCCCAGCAATGCTGCGGCTGCCCCCTGGGGCTGGGGGCCCACACAGAAAGGAGTGGCCCCAGCAGGCAGAGGGAGCCTCTCCCACAGCTCGACAAACCGAGATCCACATTCATTAGGTCCCAAGAGGATAAGCCCATCGGCTTCGTCATGGCCGGCCAGCACGTCACCTTTGCTGTTTCTGTTGTGAGAGGAGGGGCCCCATCGCCCAGCCTGTGGGTGGAGAGGGCCCAGCCCCACCGTTCCCCTCATGCTCCACACAGTGACCAGCAGGCCCGCCCGCCATCTGTCGTCCGCTCTTTACTTTGCCTTGTCTCCATCAGGGAGGAGGTCTTTGGGCACCTCCACTCCATTGTGCCTGGTCTTGGGGCTGCCTCTGGGAGAGGCTCCCCTACCCCCACCCCAGCACACACACACACTGGAAGTCTCGAGATAGAGGCCAGTAACCACTAGTTTAAACCAGCACGTCGGGAAGTCAGAGGGGAGATCTCTTCTTGGTCGGTCCCTGCTGGGTTAAGTCAGAGGCCCTCGAGGTGCCTTTCCTCCAGCTCAGAGATTCTGGGCTTGCCCAAGGAGCCAGGGTTCTGCTCTGAGTTGGGCTCAAGCCTGGCCCCTTTCTGTAGGAGATGGAGACAAAGATGCTGAGAGCTCTAGGGTGTGGCTGGCTGGTAGGCAGGAGGAGGGGACTTGGGTTACTGCTCCAGACAGAAAAGCAGAGGCCCAGCGGGCCCCATGGGATGGCCAGGAGACAGGCACAGGAGCCTCGTGCCGCCAGCCCAGCTGCAGTCCCACAGCCAGGGTTGATTAAGGCTGATTCCAAGGACGCCTTCATGGATCTGCTGACTGCTCGTTGGCTGATTCAGCTTGCCAGGGTTGTAGTAGCCTTTATTGCCAGGATGTGGCCAGAAGGTGTGCCCACAGAGCAGCCCCTGACACTGGCCACCAGTGCAGACTCTTGTCTCAAGTGGGTCCAGCAGCAGGGAGCTGAACCTCAGAGCCCCTCCCCAGTGGGATGCCAGGGCACAGCCAGGTTGGGCTCTGCGGTTGGGGGGCTGGCTGCTGCCTGTGGGAAAGCCCCATTCTTTTTAAAGAGAAGTCACAGGGAATGTGAGGCTGGGTGCCAGCCCGATGCAGGAGGCCCGAAACCTCTGTGGTTGTCAGTTCTCAGCCCCAGCAGCAGCTGTGCAGACAGGTTCAGATGCTCTCCTGCCCCGGCAGGGTAGTGGCTCGTCCTGTTGAAAGCTCAGAATGCTGGTCAAAGGTGGCCAGTTCTGAAGGGCCTCTGGGCGTCCCCCTTAGCTCCTCTCCCAAGCTGGGAGCCAGCTACTTTTGAACCCAGGCCAGTGGGGCTGCAGGTACTCCTTGGCTGGGGCTGGGGCTGGGGCTGCAATGAAATGGGTCCCTTTCAGAGCATCTAGAGTGAAACAAAACTGGTTAATCAGGATAGGCCAAGTGAGCCAGGCTCAGAGCATCATCTTCATGGCCAAATTCAAGGCTGAAAATACAACTACGGAAAGAGAAATGGTGGCCAGAGGCCCTGGGATCCACCAGCCTGCAAATGTGCGTGCCTTTGTCCTGCTGCTGGGAGCTGGGTGGGGGGCGCCTGTGCCAATCTGGAAGCCTGGCTGGGTGAGTCCAGGGCGGGCAGCTACTTGTGTCCGGATCCAGAGGGATCACTGCCAGCCAGCTAGGGCCGTGGATGGGTGATCATGCTGGAAACCTGCACTGCCCCATTTGCTATTGGGTGGGTTTTGTTTCCTCTGACCACAGGAAAGGGATATTTTACATGCAGAGAAATTTTATACATAAATATATTTTGTTTGTAATGAGCCATTCAATAAACACCACTGATCTCTATATTAAAAAAAAATCCCTCATCAACTTTGACAATTGTAAGCAAAAGTGATACACAGAGACAATGAGAAGGGAGGAGGAAGAGGAGATAGGAGGAGGAGGTTGGGGAGAGGGCCTCTTCAGAGAAAAGTCAGATTGGCTGTTGGAGGCAGAGATGCACAAAAGCTTGGATTCTTTGCTTTAAACCATAGAAAATTCCGAGGCGGGGAAGGAAGGGAAGAAGCAGCTCTGGAGGCAGGTTTTCGGTTCACATAGTCCGTCAATCAGCCCCAAGGGCGCCCTGACTGCACCAGTAACTTGGGACTCCTCTGAGGCCTTGGGAAGTGAGTTGGAGAGCAGAGGGGTGTGGTGGGTCAAGCCCTCCTGGAGCAGAGCCATGAGAGGAGCCAGAGTTGCCCCGGATGGGTAAGAAGGGAGCCATTCTAGGGATGGGAGACAACTGGTGCAGAGACAGAAGAGTATGTGTTCTTAAGGCAATGGGGAGTTTGCAAGTTTCTCTGACAGGAGAGTGACATGGTCAGACCTGTCCCTGTGCCCCAGAGACCAATTAAGAAGCCATTGCAATAGTCTAGGTGAGAGGTGAAGAGGGCCTGCACGAGGAGGTCAGTGGTCTTGTGAATGGAGAGAAAAGGCCATAGACAAGGGAAGTAGGGAGAGAAAGCAGAGGCAGAATGTGCAAGCCGGGAGTGGGGCACGAGAAGGCTCCTCGGGAGGTGAGCCCAGACAGGCAGAGGCCGGATGCTCTGAGTGCACGCTCACTCGCTTCTCCCTGGCTGGAGACCTTTGGGCGCCTCCTACCGATAAGGTCCTAAAGATGCTGTTCAGCCTCCTCCACATGATGCCCCAGTCATGCCCTTATCCAGCCTTCACCTCGCCATCTTTTCTGCAAGGACAGTGGGGGACGTTTGTCAAATGCTTAACTCGTTTCTAGGGAAGTCGTGCCCCCAGCCTGCCCTGGCTCACCCATCTAGTCATCCTGCCAAGCAAAGGAAGCAGTCTGGCTGACGCAACGCTGCCACTAATCGCTGCTTCCTTTTCTAAGGGGTCACTAACCATCCTTTGAATAAATGATGCACACGGACATAGTCTCAGGAACAGAAGTTGGGTTCTGGCCTACAATGTGCATACTCTGCCCTGACAGGCAGAGCCGGAATACTCCTTGCTCCCCATGGCCGTTTTCAGAATCCTGCCACCATCCCTCGGTAACCTCTGCTCCTCTCAAGTTCCTGCTTGTGGAAGCTCCCTCAAGCGGCCCCAACTGCCCCACCTCAGCTACCCATGGAAATGATCTCGCCCTTGACCACCGGGGCTGCACTTGGAGTGCTCCTGTGGTCCAACAGTCCTTTCTCAGTCCTAATCCCCACCATTTTCTCCCTTCTGAAGACCTCTCTCCATCGCTGTGGCCTCCAGGCCCTCGGCCCCTCGGTTTTCTCGTGTGCCATCTCCCCTGCAGTGGCTCCACTCTCCTCTCATCCCATCGTGAGCCCCAGGCACACCAGCCCAACTCTGTGCTCAGTCCCTGGCCCCCTCTTGCCTGGTGTGGCAGCCCTGCCTCATCCTTGGGTCACTTTTTGCCACCTTCTCATGTACACACAGGCTCCTGATGGAAGATGGAGAAAAGCTCCCCTGCCAACCTGTTACGCGACCTCGACAGGGCTGTCATGGCTGCCAGGCAGTCCCGCTCCAGCCCCTCGAGCGGTTCTTCCAAACCTCCTCCTCCCTCCTCAAACCTCCCACTCTCTCGGTGAAGAATCTGCCTCCTGTTTTACAGAAAAATGGTGCCATTTGCCAGAGCACCCCTTCCTCTCTCTTCGTCATCTGCCATCACCCAGACACCTTCTGCCCCGCTCTCCTCCTTCTGGGTCTCCCATGACTAGGCGGCATCACTCCTGACCAAGGCCAACCCCTCCATTGGCTCAGATTGTCCCCACTGTCATTTACCTTCTGTCAGCTTCTGGCTCCTCACCTGCTGCCTACAAATGCCTCCATGTCCCCAATCCTGAAAAACTCTCCTTGCTCCTCCCATCCCTGCTAACCCTCATCCTCTCTCATCTGCATCCTCGCTATTTCCACGTGGAAGGCAGATGCTCAGCACTGGGGATGCAAACAAGAGGCCCTTCCTTCCGGGAGTGAACAGTCTTGGGGGGGGGGACCTTCCCTTCCCACTAACAAAGTCTCAGACAGATCCGTGACCTGATCCACCCAGGCAGATCGCAGCCCATCCCCTTAACCTGGTGACCACCAGCCTAGGCTTGAGAACACATTCCAATCGTTAGGCTTCAATCTAGATGTGCAGTCCTTCCCCTGGAGGATGGTGCTCGGGCGGGCCAGGAAACTTAGCCACATCCCACAGGTCATCTATACATTGCCAAGCTAGTCAGGATTGGATCTAACCAAAGGGTGGAGCAAAATCCCCTAGAAAGGAATTGTTTGGGGAGGGGAGAGAAAGAAGAGGCCTCAGCTGGGCATTGGGGGGGCGCCACTATGCACAGAGCACTGGGCCTGGAGTTAGAAAGACCTGAGTTCACATGTGGCATCAGGCACTTCCTAGCTGTGTGACCCTGGGCAAGTCACTTCATCTGTCTGGCTCAGTGTCCTCATCTACCCAGTGGGCCCCTGCTTGAGGAGAAGGAGCTCACTCACTACCTGTCTAGGCAGCTTCGCCCTCGGGGCTCAGCGATCCTTCTGCTACCTGAGGGCCTTTGGAACGTTTGAAGCCAGCTCCACACACATGCCTTCTCTTGTCAGTCCACAAGCACTGAGCACACACTTACTATGTACCATACATCATGTGCTAAGCACCAAGATAACAAAGGAAGCTGACCTGACTGAAGAGGAGGTGAGACGGGAGGAAGGCGGAGGACCGTGGGCTCTCACCTCCCTCTGGGCCCCTCTGTCCTCCCCACAGCTGTCTGGAAGGTTGGGGTCAATCGGGCTTTCAGAAGGCCATTGAGGCCAGGCTAGGGGGCGCCCAGAGGAGGCAGCCATGCTGGAAGGGAACCGGAGCCCATGCCCCAAGAGGAGGAACCAACTTGTGTAGCTGGACAAGAGAAGACTTGGGGTCATGGTGGCATCTTCAAAGTTAGCCTGGGGGCTGACTGAGGCTGGATGTCAAAGAAAACTTCCTAGCCATTCCAGTGCAGAATGGGCTTTCCTCCAGAAGGGTAGCCCTGCCCCATTCCCCAAGGTGGAGGTCTTTTTGCCAAAGTCGATAGAGATGTTGTCTGGACTAGAGGCTGCTATGGCCCCTTCCATAGAAGAACCTCCAGTTGTGTGGTTTGGGGTTCCACGCCAGCCCATCTTTTTCAAGCTTGTGGCCCACTAATGCCCCCTGATCCTCTTACAACTGCTGTCTCTCCACACCCCCTCTGTACTTGTGAGGCTGCCCTTTTTTGTAACCAAGGGGGAAGGCTCTGCACTTAGCCTTGATAGATTAGATGGGTCTGAGTGGAAATGGAACCACGATCTGGTAGAAAACTTCACCTTGTCAGGGTGGCCGGTTTGGGGCCACATAAACTGGTGAAGGGTGCCTGGGCCAGCAGCCGGCCCATCCCCACCTCCCCACCCTCACCCCCAGGTAATTCCCGGTAACCCAGTCTGCCCAGTTCTGGCCTGGGTTTGGCCAATCAGTGCTGGTAAGGGGAGCAGCCTCGCCCCCACCCCTACCCCCGGTCTGGCCATTCTCAGCTCTGACCAGTGGCTTCCCAAAAGGCCCCAGCCCAGCACCTTCTCATGACCCCACTATGGACCACACAGGAGACAGAGGCTGAAGGCATTACTGGCCCAGCCAGAGGCGAGACTGGAACCTGTATCCTGACTCCAGGCTGGGAACAGTGGCCCCTGCATTCCCCATGATTCTCAGATCTGGGCTGGCACTCTGCCTTTGTTTCTGCATGTTTATTAGGTGCCTCCTGTATACAAGAACCAGGCTGTCCCAGAGCCTTTGCACACTGGCCAAGAGGAGGCCAGGAGCCAGGGCTTCTGCCTGGGTATGGGATGGGGCGGGGTGGGGTCAGGGGGCATTGGGCTCTTGGGCTCTCACTGTTACCCTCAGTAGGGGGCAGTGCTCTGGAGCACAGGATCAGGTCCCAAGCTTGTGCTGCTAATACCCCCCAGGGCTTCCGGCAGCCCTGGGACCCGGGTCTGCCCTCCAGGCTGCCAGCCAGCATGGGCTAAGGCTGGCCTGGAAGACGGAAGTGGGGAGGGAAGGATGGAGATGATGAAGATGGAGACAGGGTTCTTCTGTGAGGCCAGGAGACCCGCCTGGCCTGGGCTTCTACTCCTTAATGATGTGGGGCCTGTAGTCCGGCTGGGATGCCTTGGCCAGCTCCTCTGCATACATCGCATGTCGCCCAGTCATCTGAGGGGCACAACACAGACGGTCTCCCCCTGTCCAGGCCTGCCCCAGGCTCTCCCCCGAGGGGCACAGCCTGATCCTCCTCCCAGGGGATGGAGGGGGGACCGTGCGGAGCTGGGCCTTCCACCCTCTGTTGCCCTCATCCTGTCCTGCCCTTGTGGCCAGGGTGCTCCCTCCCTGCGCCATGCCAGGGTGAATCCTCCCGCCCCTCGAGATCCACTGCCCCACTCTCAGCTCCTGTGGATGGACTTTCTTCCCCCACTGGAAGGGAAGCTTCTCAGGGACAGGAACGGTCTTTGTTTTTCCTTGTGTTTGTATCCCCAGGACCTTGCTTAGCACAGAGCCTGCCACACAGTAAGTGCCTAATCCGTGCCCATGCCCCATCTCTGCCCACCTGCAGGGGTGACCTTGGCCCAGTTCTCATGTCTCCAGCTTCCCATAGAATGTCACTCACTGTCTTCCCCCAAACCCTCCCTCCTGGCTCCCCTCCCTTGTCTCTGCCCAACTGCCTGCCTCCAGCCCCGCATCCTCCAGGCGGCCTCCAAATGGAATCGGCCTGTCAGTGGCTCCCTGTGGCCCCAGATCAGAACCCCGCTTATTCTCAAGGCCTTGTGGGCCCGGCCCCATCCCAGCACCTCCCCACAATCCTCCCCAGCCTTCCCAGAATCCCTTTCTTCTTTAGGACTAGCTCAGCACCCCACCTCTGTGCCCCGCCCTCCGCCCCCACCACCACCACCCCAGGGCCCGCCCTGAGGCAGCCTCCCTGGGGCTGGACCTTAAAGTTCCAGAGGTCACCCATCTGCCGGCAGAGGTTGAGGTCCAACTGGGCCACCAGCAGTCCATCTCTGGTGCGGGACAGTCCGGGGGTGCGGCGGCCATCCGGGGCGCTCACGTAGCTCGAGCCGTAGAAATAGCCGAAATCACGGTGCGCTTCAGAGATGCAGAAGAGGCCAGGGCACCTGGTGGGGCTGGTCCTGGCGGGCACTGGGACAGGAGGGGGCTCCCGGGACCTCCCAGACACCCCCAGAGCAGGCACATGCCCCCCGAAGGGCCTGCCCCTCCCCCAATCCCGCTGAGGCCCACCAGATACTTGGGACACGTGCAGCACCTGCGCACCTACCTGGCTTTCCGTCCCCAGACGTGAACTCTCTGGGAAAGTGCTCCTGCGCAGAAGAAGGTGCTGACCAGCCCCAAGTCCTCAGAGCCCCTCCCAGCTCCCAGCCCCTCCAGTCCTTAGAGTCCCCCAAGTCCTCAAAGCCCCTCAGCCCCCTGAGTCCTCAGAGACCCCTACAGCCCCCCAAGTCCTTAAGGCCTCCCATAGCCCCCAGAGCCCCACCCCTAGTACTCAGAGCCTTCTCATAGCCCCCTGAGTCCTCAGAGACCCCCGTAGCCCCCCAAGTCCTTAAAGCTCCCCCAGAGTCCTCAGAGCCCCTCCCAGCTCCCAGCCCTCCCAGTCCTCAAAGCTCCCTCACAGCTCCCAAATCCGGAGTCCCCCCACAGCCCCTGAGTCTTTAAAGCTACCCCACAGCTCCCCAGTCCTCAGCCTCCCTACAGCCCCCTGAGTCCTCAGAGCCCCCCCCATTCCTCTGAGCCTCCCTATACCCCCCAAGTCCTCAGAGCACCCCCCACTCCAGCCAGCCCCTGGATCAGCTACAGGGTTTTCAGAGGTATCTTACTATCCCCAACCTGCCCAGACTGGGGTATGTCCAATGTGTCACCCCAAATATGAAATGAAATTGTCCAGTCCAGGGGTGGGGGGCCTGTGGCCTTCCAGGTCCTCGGTGTGGTCTTTTGACTGAGTCCAAGTTTTACAGAATAAATCCTTTTATGAAGGGGATTTGCTCTATGAAGTTTGGATTCAGTCAAAGGGCTGCACTTGAGGACCTAGAGGGCCACATGTGGCCTCGAGGCCACACGTTCCCCACCCCTGGTCCAGTCTGACTGACCCTAGAGGCAGAGAGGGTCCTTAGAGAAACCTGAACCCTCAAGCCCACGGACAAGGGGAATCATCCAGGACTGGCATGGAGCCTTCTAGTGATGGAGAGCTCACTACCTCTGGGCCAGCACACTCCACAGAGGGACAGCTCCCTGTTAGTACAAATCAGGTGCAGTAAAGACCCTTTACCCTGGCAGCAAAGGAGAGCCATGGATGGGGGGGGAAGGGGGGAGGAAAGGTGGGCAGGGAGTGAGGGGGGGTCCCTCAAGGCTCCAAAAGTGAATGTTCTCTCCTAATCACAGAGAATTCAGCTGTGGATCACGCACACCACACACATGCACACACACATTCACACACATACACACACATAGACACTCACACGTGCACATGCACATACACATACACCCAGACACACACCATGCACATATACACTCATATACACATCTGCACTCACACAAACTCTTATACAATCATACCCACGCTCAGACACACCACACACACATACACATATTTACATACATACACATGCTCACACAGAAGCACTCATGTGCACCACGTATGCACACATGTATACACTCACACACCACACATGTACTCTCCTACATATACATGCTGTCACACATACACACCACAAATACACACATGTGGACACCACAGTGCACACATACGTGTACTCATGTAGAAGTACACATGCTCACACATATGTACTCATACATACACTACATACATAGATACGTGTATACACTCACACAATATGCTCTTCTACAAAATTACACACACACACACACACACATACACATGACAAGATGTGCCACTCCTTACCACGCCCACGCGATTGATGGCGCAGGTGAAGCAATGGTTAGCGATGGCAGCATTCCTCGCCTCAATGGGCCACAGGGACTCACTGCAGAACACATGGGGGACAAAGAGAGAGCACTGGGCCTTCTGCTGGGGGCCAGGCCCTCCTCCCCTGCTGGCATGGCCCATGGGCAGGGCCCATCCTGGGCTCATCCCTGTGACTCACCCCACAGCTAACCCTAACCCTAAATGCCCTCCTGCTGCTGGACACTAACCAAGGCCCTGTGGCCCTTCTGCCCAGAGGCTCTCTCTCATTCCCATTTCCAGCCCCTTCACCATCTAAGCAGCCATGGTGTGCCAGGCCTCTGCCATGCCCTGGGGGAAAGATCAAAGGAGCTTAAACTCTACTGGGGGAACAAGGCCATGGCCAGGCTGTGGGGCAGAGGCGGTGGGGAACCACGAAGGCTTCTGGAGCAGGGCAGGCAGCCGGATGGCAAGGGAGGAGGGCACTGGAGGCTGGAGCCCAGTGATGAGGCCTGGCTGTCCCTCCCCACCCCCCCACCCCAGGTAGCTCTCATGGCCCCCAGGAGGCCTCTCTGTCCTTTCCCCCTCGTCCTTAGCAGCTCCTGGCCCTGCCCTCTGGGGCCTAGCGGAGCCAAGCTGAGACCTCCTGCCCAGGACAGCCACGCCTCTGGGACCCCAGCTCACTGCTGCCCCTAAATAATCAGGAGGAGGCAGCTTCCAGGGGCCCCCGTGGGCCAGGAGCCGTGAAGGGAGAGGGCCAATCCCCAGCCCGCCCCCATCCTGGCCCCCTAAGGACAGCAACGAGCCACTGGCTTGTCTTCCCAGGTATCTCTGGGCTGGCAGCTGAGCCGCCTCCGTAGGCAGGCTGAGTGACAGGTGGGGGCAGGGCTGTCATCTTCCTCCTCGTGACAGTGACAGACAGAGGCTGGCAGGCCTGGCTCCCACCCCCACACTGGAGGGGGCTGCAGTGGGTGGCTGGGAACATGGCGCATCCTCCCTGGAACCCTGAGTTCACTGCTCTTCTCAACCCTCCCGCCCCCCACCCACCCGCCAAGGCTAACAAAACTTTCCAGAAAGAGTTTGATGGAAGTGCTCCCCACACAGCATCCTGGGGTGTTCAGGAGGGGAGCCTCCTCTCTGGGCCGGGAGTCAGTTCGGTGTGAATTTGGTGCTCAGGGCAGGGAAGCTGTAGCCTCCAGGGCCTTCCCAGCCCCCAGTGGTGGAGGTGGTGACTGACCTACTGACCTGTGACTGACCAGTGTTTATGTGCAGATATCTAGGCATCTCCCCATCTGTGACCTATCCACATCTCCGTGTGTGACCCATCCACATCTCCATGTGACCCATCCACGTCTCCATGTGTGACCATCCATGTCTCCGTGTGTGACACATCCACCTCTCTGGGTGACCTGTCCACCTCTCTGGGTGACCTATCCACGTCTCCATGTGATCCATTCACCTCTCCATTGTGACCCATCTGCCATCCATCTTTTTCCTAAGGGAAGCTATAGGCAGAGCCCCTCCCCACAGGCCCCCTTCACAGACAGCCCAGCCTTCTTGCCACCCTCTTCTGCCTCTACTGGTCGCTGAGGCCAGAGTTTGAGCACTGCCTAGGGCCCCTCCCTACCTGAGCTCCCCAGTGGTGGCTGAGGGGTTGAAGATGATTTCAGCCCCATTCAGGCTGTACATGAGCCAGTTGAGGGGGTGGTGGCGGCCATAGCAAATGTTCACAGCAATCCGCCCAAAGGGTGTCTGGAAAACGGGATGACCCAAGGTACTTTCCATGTAGTATGTGGCCTGAGGAAAAGGGAGTGTCCTCAGTAGGGGCAGCTGCTCGCAACCTTCTCTTCTCTCCCCTCACCTCCCTGTCAGCTAGTGTCTCCCCCAAGAAATGCCTGCTGCCACAGCTCCCCAGGTCTGGGCCTGAGAGGCCAGCCCCCTTTCTTCTCAGTGCCATTGACTGTCACCTCCCCTAGCTGCTCGCAGCTGCAATCACCCCCTCCCCTTCTCCTTAATCTTCACCCTCTCCCAGTCCTGGCTGCCTCCACAGCCGGCATCTCCCCAGCCCTTAAAAAGACCTCTTCTGGTCCGAGAATCTGCACGAGTTAGCATTCGGTGTCTCTCTTCCCTTAGAAACGCTGTCCACACTGGCTACCTCCACTCACTTCTCAGCCTTCTACAGTCTGGATTCTGATCTTATCACTCAAGTGGACCTGCCCTGCAGAGGCAGTACTGACCTCCGATTGTCTGGTCAGGCCTCGCTCTTCCTATCCTCTCTGACCTAGGCACTCTGTCCGTTTTCCTGCTGTGACTCTTCCTCCCTGGTTCTCCTCCTATGGCTCCTCTGCTGGACCTCCTCCAGAACAGGACCTCTAACCTCGGGCATCCCCCAGGGCTCCGTTCTGGGCCCTCTGCCCTTCTCCCTCTGTTGCACTGCCCTGGGTGATCCCGTCAGCTCCCAAGTTCTGAATGACCTTCTCTGTGTTCATAACTCAGATCTTCCTGTCCTGCCTGACCTCTCTGCTGACCTCCACCTCCTATCTCCAGGTGCCTCAGACATCCTCAACTGGACATCCAGTGGACACCTTACACCCAACGTGTCCAGAACAGAACTCATCCTCTCTCCCCCTCCCACCTTTCCTATTACCGTCAAGGGCAGCCCCACCCTCCCAAGTGCCTCTGGCTCCCAACCTGAGGGCCATCCAGAGCTCCTCACTGCCTCCTCCCCTGGATCCAATATGGTGCCCAGACCTGTCGATGGCACCTTTGCAGCATCTCTCCAATATGCCCCCTTCTCTTCTCTGACCCTGCCCCCCCCCCAGACTCCCATCACTATCCCTGGACTAAGGCAATAGCTTCGGGGCTGGGGGGGCAGTCTGCCTTCCTTGGTCTCTCCCCTCTCCAATCCATCCTCCATTCAGACACCAAAGAGATCTCCCTAAGCCCAGTCTGACCAGGTCACTCCACTACCAATAAATTCTAGTGACTCCCTCTCACCTCCTGAATCAAATATAAAATGTTCTTTGGCATTCAAAGCCTTTATAACTTAGCCCCCACCCCCACCCCATGGACTCTGATCCTGCTGCCCTGGCCTCCCTTCCCAGAGCCTTTCCTCCCAACCTCCCCTTCCCTACACCCCCACACCTGCCCCAGCCTCCCCTCCCAGAGGCCTCCCCCCAGCCTGGCCTCCTAATCTCTCCTCCCAGCCTCCAGAGGCCTCCCCCCTCCCAGCCTCCCCTCCTGGCAGCCTCTTTTCCCAACATCCCACCAACAGCCCTTCCATCTCTCAGCTCCAGGCATTCTGTGCCCCTGGCCTGGACTGCTCTGCCTCCTCTGCTCTGATCACTGACCACCCCAGCTCTCTTTGCCGCTGGTTCATACACCTGCCTCCTTTTCCAGACTTTTCCTGATTCTCTCCGCTGTATTCTCCCCTCTTCCCCTGGGCCTGCCCATTACCAGCATTTAAATATTTTGTATCTCTATGTACTGGGGCGACACAATGTTTCCTCCACTAGAATGGAAGCTGCTACCAGGAGATGGGGGCCCTCAATAAATTCTGACCGTTTGATCGGTGTCTAGGCTATCCCCCATTTCCCCAAGTGGGTGTGTCTCCCCTTCCTCCACAGATGCAGACTGAGAGCCCTCCTCCCCAGAGCGCCCCACCCTCAGGGCCTGCCTGCCCACTAGCTTCCTCAGGGAAGTGCCTTTTGCAGTGTCGGTTGCCCTCCCAACCCGGTGGTGGGGCTCCCCCAGGCCACCGCTGCTGGGAGCAGGCTAGGAGAAGGGCCCAGGCCACAACAAGGGCAGATGCCCATTGATGAATAGGTGCCTCTCTGGGACTCCCTGTTGGGGGCGGTCCAGTGTCCATGGGTAAAACACAGGGTCGGGGCAGCCCCAGGGAAGGGGCTCAGTCATCTCTGGAAGGCCAAAATCCTTGTGAGATCCTGGGGAACGAGGCTAAGCATATGCTACCCCTAGACTGCACTCTGGCCAATGTCGACGTAAGCCCTCGGTTCTCAACGTTAACTGTGGTGTTCGTAGCAAGGGCTTTGGAGTGGGTCAGCCAGTCAGTTAGTCAGTAAACATTTAGTAAGAGCCTATTCTGTGCCAGGCACTGGGCTAACCTTAGACGTGTCAGAGAACAAAGAGGGGGTGTAATTTGTTCAATGTCCCAGAGCTGGTCTGATGAAAAGATTCCTTCCCCTGTTCTCCCCTCAGCTGGAGACCTGAGGAAGGAGAGACCAGAGGGGGGCCAGGCCAGGCTGGGCTCAGGGGGGGACCAGGTGAGGAGGGCAGCTCCACTTTGGGGCTCTCACCTCAGATCCCTGGGCCTCTGCCCCTTGGGCTGATTCATCATCTTGGCTGCCCTCTTCAGCCCTAAGGACCCTTCCCTCTTGTCTGGCACAGCCCCAGATCAGGGAATAGGCTGGGCAGAGTCCTATGCCTCCATAACTCAGCTATGGCTCCTCTTCCCAGGGCATTCCCACCTGGCTTTGCCTCGGGTTCAGGTCCTGGTCCTCCTTCAAGTCTTTGCCCCATCTACTCATGCTTGGCGGGTCCCTTGCTGCTCCCCTCAGGCCCCCTTTTCCTCATCTGCCCCCTCCCCCCTGCCCCTGGGCTATCCTCAGTGCCCTCTTCTGGAGCTCCCAGCCTTCTGACTCTGAATTCCATCCCTCATCGCTGCTGTAAGCAGCCCTGTCCAGGCCCTCAGCCCACCAGTGTACTGTCCTGTGCGTTGGGCAGAGCACCTCACCCAGTCCACAGCTGAACAGGCATGGCCCCAACCACATGCAGAGTTTCTGCGGTGCTCAGACCTGCCAGGCAGCTGCCCCACTAGCATCCTCCCAGGAGGAAGGGAGGACCAGCTAGGGATGGGCAGTGGTTCCCAGACACTCTGGGATGCTGGTAGCATCCTCTGCAGGGCCTTTGCTTCAGGGAGGAGCCTGGGCTCATCAAAGGAACCCACCTAGCCCACGCACCTCCTACTGTACATTTCAGGTCCAGCTCAGTGTCGAGGGACTCTGTCATACACGTCAATACACGCATGCGCACACACTTATGCTGATAAATAACTCTAACTTGGGCAATAGGCCTCCTTCTTCATCCACTTGGTCTTTCCAGTGTGAATGGTCAGATAAAACTCCTTGGAGTGATGATCACAGAGCTCTCCCAGAAGGCTCGGCAGTGCCCTGGGGCTTGAAGCCAGCAGCACTATGTCCTCCACAGTGGGCAGCTGGGGGACCTCCCCAGTCAGGGGGAGAGAATCAGGCCCCATCTCTGACCTAGCAGAATCTGTGTCAGACCTCGTCCACCCCACCTTCAGCAAGCATCCTGAGCAGTAGCTTCTTGGATGTTTGTGACCTGGGGTCATCTCTGTTGTTATAGCTTCCCAGGAATCCAGAATGATCTTGACTATGGGGAGCGGATGGGAGACACCTGGTGGTCCAAGCTCCTATAAAGGGGCTGTTTTGTCCAAAACAAATTCCTCTTTAAAATCAATAGGGAAGAGGCAGTGGGAGCTTCCAGGCCCTTGGCGTGGTCTCTGGGGAACGTGGTCAGGAATGTGGTGAGTATTTGGCATGAATAGGATCGTGGACACACAGGTCAGCCATTGTCTACGCTCCCTCCCTCCTTGGTTCTTTCTGCTCTGTGGGAACTTTCAGATGGCAGAGAAGGGAGGCAGATCCCCCAGCCTCCTCCTGCTGTGCTCCCCAGGTCCGATCTGGCTCCTTGTACTCCGCCATCAATCTCTCTGGTCACCAAGCTTCTGTGAAGCACCTCCTGTGTGCCAAGCACACTAGCCATTGCTGCTTCCTCATTAAGCATGTCTGAGACTGATGGTGGAGCAGTTCCCTGGCCTTGATCTTTGCAGATCTTTTCCATCTCTCTGGTTGTGTCTTGATTCTTAAATGCCTCGGCTGCTCTGCTCTGTGAGACTTCTCACCAAGCTGTCTGCAAGCTGTTCTCACCTTCTTCCCCCCCACCGCCCTCCTCCCTTCTCAAACAAACGAGCTGACACTGTCCAGCATTACCCTGTGTGCTTCTCTCCATCTGATGCTGGCTGCCTGGGGTTTTGGGGGTGCCCGGGGGTCTCCTGGGTGTGCTATTCATAACCACTGGCTCATGTTTGAGATGAATTAGTACCGTCTGCGTGTGGAGTCTTTATCCACTGGCCATTCACCATGGTGATGGTAACCTGCCCAGCTGGATCATGAGGAACAGGCTGTTCTCTGGCACGTCCTCTCTCCCCCTCTCCATAGTTCCCCTGGCCTTGTTCTCCTTCTGAGTCTTGCTGTGACAAGTGCACAGAGCGACCGGAGGTCGGTGCCCACGTGCGCAGACACTTGTCTCTCAGATGACTCCCGTGTTGTCAATGAGGGATGGCATTTCCTGTGTGCTCACAGAACCAGCTTTGGGCTCTGTGACATCATTCGGGGCTGGCCAAGACCAGGCCCCACCGAGGTCTTCCTCACCGTGTGAGGAAGGCACTCAGGATGGAAAGGCATGAGGTTTCCTGTTCAGTTCAGCCCGATGCCAGGCTGTTGAGGTCTTTTTGGAACCTGACTTGGTCACACAGAAGACTGTCTCCCTCCCAGCCTGATGTCCACGTGCTAAGCAGCCCAGAGCCCAGGTCCAAGCCCTGTGGCACTCCACTACAGACTTCCTGCCTCAATGGCCTTGCAGAACTACCGTTTACACATGGTTTGAAGGTTTCACCAAGCATTTTGCAAACATGACCTCATCTGATCCTTACAGCAGCCCTAGGAGGGAGGTGTTGTTATGATTCCCATCCTACAGATGAGGAAGCTAAGGCAGGCAGCAGGGAAGTGCTCTGCCCAGGGACACCACGCCAGGAAGTGTCTGAGGCTGGATTTAATTCAGGCCTTTCTGATTCCCAGACCAGCGAGCACTTTGGGCACCATAGGGTCACCTTTGGGTCTGACCAGCTGTAAATGTATCTGGCCATGTTAACCTCTTTCTACAGGAAGAGCCGGAGCTGAGGGGACAGGATGTGGCTGGGGGCAGGGCATCCTGGCGTGATGGCAACGGTGGCTGCGTGGCATGGGCCAGGCACAAGGAGCCCCAAACGGATCCAAGGAATGGCCTGGAGGTGGCCACCGTGCCCAGGATCAGCCGCCTTCTCCTGCCGCAGCATGGGCACTGCCCAGCAGCTGGTTCCCTCTGTAAGCATTCGGCGGATAAGGAAACTGAGGCTCAGAGGAGGGAAAGGACTGCCAAGCTCCCACCAAGGGCGTGTTCCTGTGGCCCCTTCCTGTGGCCCGCTCCTGTGGTCCAGGGTGTCCCCCACAGGCCTGCCCCAGCCAGAGGGACACGAGGGGGCTGTCCCCCGGAAGAAGCTCACCTCGTTGAAGTCGCCCACCCGGGGGATGTGGTTCTTCCGCGTCTTGCCCAGCACAGCCCCGGAGTTAGAAATGACCACCGCGGTGTTCCACAGGACATCCCCATGAGCCTCGTCCCGCTCCAGGATAGGCGACACCACCACCATGTTGTGGGTCTTAGCCAGCTGCAGAAGCCAGAACAAGCATGGCATGAGGGGAGGGCCACCAGGGGCGCCACGGTGCCCAGAGTCTGGAAGGCCCGGCCTCCGAGGAGGCCCCCGCAGCAGAGGCTTCCTCCAGCCTTCGCCTCCTTTCCCAGGTCCTCTGCTCCTGGCCACTCAAGTGGCCGTGAGGCCCCGGGCGACTCGGCCAGCCCCCGAGCCCTCGGTCCCCCGGCTAGACCCCTTGCAGGTCCCCACTCGTGGCAGGCGTGTGCCCTCCATGGGGGCGCTGTGGGGGAAGGGGAGGCAGGCGCCTGGCCATCGGTCCCTCCCGCTGCGCTGGGGGCCCCGGGTCCGCCCCAGGTCATCCAGAGCGCCTGACAGGAGGCCCGGGTCCCACCTTTTGGCAGAGCCTGGTCGTGGGGCCGTCCTCCGCAGATTCAGCAAACTCCGTCCAGGGCAGCTTCTCTCTTGTGCAGAAAGCAAAGGGCATGGCTAGAAAGAGAAGCGGGGCGTCAGGGCCAGGGGGCTGGGCGGCCTGGGGGTGGTGTTCCTGGGAGCCTGTGCCCCTGGCAGTAGGGCCGTGGTATTGTCCTCGGTTTATGAAGGCGGTTTTGCCTCTTGGCAGGATTCGAACCCAGGGCCCTTGTCTCTGAGTGCAGCATTCTTCCCCATCCCCTCGCCGATCCAGCTAATGTAAACAAGCTGGGCGGTTTGTCCAATCCCGCGGCCAAGGCACGGGTGGGCGCGCTGGGGCCTGAGGACCACTGGCACACTCGCTCAGAGAGGGTGCCAGACTCGCCGCGGGTCACACAGCTCTGCTGCCCCGCCCCCAGCCTGCATCCCGGCCTCGGCGGCCCCAGGTGAGGGAAGGTGTCCGAGGGGGCCGTCTCCCTGACGGGACCCGGGCTCCAGCAGCAGGGCGCCCCCTAATACAACCACCCAGGGAGGGAGGCGCTAGTATGATCCCCGTGTTACAGCTCGGGAAACTGAGGCAGGCAGAGGGGAAGTGACTGGCCCTAGGTCACACACCTAAGTGTCTGAGGTTACATTTAAATTCAGGTCTTCCTGACTCCGGGCCCCCTAGAGGGCTCACAAGGAACTAGCCCTTCCTGACTCCAGACCCAGCGCTCTGGGCGCTGCAGCGCCCCCTTGTGGCCCCACAAGGAATGATCCCTTTCTGACTCCAGCACCCTCTCCCTGCGCACTCTGGCGCCCTCCAGCGGCCTCTGTGAGTGGTGGGGTCACTGGCACGTTTGCTCAGTACCTGCTCCCTACTGGCCCCAGGAGTTAAGGACCGGCTTCTTCCTCTGGGAGCATCCAGGCCACCCTTGCAGAGAATGCCTAGCCCCAGCATGAGGACGCTATATGCAGGGGAGCAGTATGAACCCCAAAAGATAGAGAGCTGGGAGGGAAAGAGCACAGGGCCAGCCTTGGAGGCTGTAGAGGCTGGAGGACCACTCTGAACCTCAGTTTTTTCATCTGGGGAAATAGTGGGCTATTGCCTGCACTGCCTCCATCCCTGCAGACCTGGAGCCCAGGAATCCTTGCTCTGCCCCTTGGGCTTTGAGTGCTAAGGACCGTAAGGTGGGGTTAGGGGCAAAGATGGGGCTGGCCCCTGAGCCAGGGACATAATGGATGCTACTCACTCCATGCCTCCTGGAAGCAGACAATGTTCACCCCGCACTGGGCAGCCACCTCCACGATCTCTGCAATGCGTCTGTGCAGGGCGCCCACCTGGGGGGACAGGCATTCACACCTATGGAAGTCTCCAAGCTCTGGTTCTGGGGAGCTCCCCCCTCCCCTGCCCAGCAGCTCCAAGCCTCAACCTGGATCCAAAGAGCCAAGCAGCTTGGGGACCCAGCCTGAGAAGGTCCCTTCCCTGCTCCAAAGCCTCCCATTGCCCACAGGATAACCCAACTCTTCCTTCCCAGCCTGGCCTTCCTGTGACCTTGTGGGCTCTCTGCCACCCCTGTGCCCTGGATAGTACATTGGAGATGGATTCTTGAGGGGCTCACAGCTAGAGTAACCACTGCACATGCCAGCTGCCTCTACCCTTTCAGCCACTGGCGAATCCTAGCCCAGGGCCTGGGGGAGGCAGGGCAGCTAATTCAAGGTTCTGACTGGCACGAGAGATGCTCAGGAGACTGAGCCCACACACCCAACTATAAGGCTGGGGAGCCCATATCTGGCAAGTCTGGAAAGAGCCAACTCTAGAAGGGGGACCTGGAAATTGGGCCTATGGGCAAGAAGGCCCCAGGTGTGGACACCAGACATGGGAAAGATGGTCTGGGTGTAGACACCAGGCCCAAGGGGAGGCTGGTGGGGAGGGTAGCCCCTAGTGTAGACAGGTGCAGGGGAGTGTTTACACGTTGAAAATTGGCCCACTACAAGTCAGGGCTTGGTTGTTTGGACCTAACAGTGTGGCCTGTGTACATGTGGGGGAGTCACTAGTTAAACAAGGACCCGCCCAGCCCCTCATGGGGGGGAGGCAGCCACTCCCCATAACATTGCCCCCAGCTGTGCCAGCAGGCTTTCTTTTAGGCAACACAAGGCAGAGGGCACCTGGAGGCACGTGGGGGCACATGATCTACCCCGCCCTCCCAGCTGTTAGCTAGGGCTGCTCCATCGGTGAGCTCCTATGCTGGCCCGGGCTTGGGGACAGCCAGATGCTGCCAAGAGGGACAGCTCCACCCCAGACCCCAGGGAGTCTGGTAAACAGCAGCCTGGGGAGCCCTATCCGGCTGGCAGGGTTGCCTACCTGCTCAGACACTGGAGCATCTGGAGGAAGTAGGATCCGGTTCTGCACAAGCCCCACGCGGATCAGCCTGGCTGGTCTCAGCTGCTCCTCAGAGGCCTCAAAGGCAAAGGCCAGCAGCTCAAAGTCCTGCTGAGAGGCATTGACCAGGGCACTGAGGGGCAGGTCGAGCTTCCTGAGGGGCAGAGGAAAGGCATGGAAGGGAAGGGGCTCGGGAGGGCCTTCCACTTGGCCTCAGTCTACCTGTCTGCACTGCCCCTGTTCCAATGGGCACATGCCACACCTGGTAGCCAGCTGCCCCTCATTTCCACGTGGAACAAGGACAAGATATAAAAGACAGGGAGGCAGAGCAGGGGCTGGGTGCTGCTGGGTGCCCCCACAGTGCTCAAATGGACCAGAAAGCTTCCTGGCCTGGGAGCCTGGCCAGCATGAAAGGCTGCCTCCTCCCACCCCCACACTCCACTGTGGCTCCCTTCCAGCACGCTTGAGAGGAGCCAGATGGCCCAGTGGATAGAGCACCAGGCCTGGAGCCTGGGCCTCAGTTTCCTCTGCTGTGAAAGCCTGGCTCAATGGGCCTATCTGCGGTCCTGGGCCTGAGGGCTGGTAAGCAGGAGTCCCTGCCTGAAGTACACCCCGATTCCCCCAGGCACCGGTGGCCATTCAGCCTCCTTATGGTCCTGCTGATCTGGTGCCCAGCCCAGGCCTGCTCCTGTTGGAGGCAGCCTGCTGTCCAGCCCTTCTGGCCTCCGCCCCAGAAGGAAGGCAGGCCTGTCTGGAGCCCTGTTCTCAGCCCCTCCATTTGGGAAAGCCATGGATGAGCTGCAGAGGGGCTCCAGTGGGGCAGGCAGGCTAGGGAAGGGGTGGAAAGCAGCGACAGAGGAGTCCCAGGTCAGGGACAGGGTGGGGGCGGGAGGGGCTGGGGGGCAGTCCTGGAGAAAAGAAGAAAGAAGCAGGGGCTGCTGGGGCAGGAAAGATCTTAATGTATTGGCTTGGTTATAGAGGGCAGAGCCCGCTGTGGAGGAAAAGCCAGAGTGTGGACTGAGGCCCCAAACAGAGCCCAGGGCCCCAGCCTGGGGGTACCACAGGGGTGCCAGGGTCACAGCTGGCAGAGCCTCAGAGGGAGGACAGAGGAGAGGGCACAGAGGCCCCAGACAGAGCCCAGGGCCCCCAGCAGGGAGGTACCATGAGGGTGCCAGGGGCACAGCTGGCAGGGCCTTCATGGGCATCCCCTCCAAGACATCTACTTTGCAGACGCTCAGAGGGGATTTGGGGCCTGTTTGCTATTGGGTCCCTATTGGTGTCAGGAGACTCAGTCCAAATCCTGCTTTGGAGAAAGCTTCCAGACCCAGGTGTCTGGCAGGCACTGGAAAGGAGCTGTGTGATCCCATGTGTGCGTGTGGGTGAGCACATGTTCACATGTGCGTGTGTGTGTGTGTACTCGTGTGCCCCAGTGCACAGACCCTGGGCACACACACACACACACACATACACACGCAAGTTTATATCTGTGAGAAGGCAGAGCTGGGCAGCAGGAGGGGAAGTCCAAGGCCCTGGGTTCAGATCCTGACTCTCCTGCTGAGTGCTTGAGGGACCTTGGGTATGTCCCCTCTCTCAGGCTGCTTCAGTGCCTTCCTGGGACCTAGCCCAGTGTTTACTCTGTGGTATCTGTGCACACGCACATGCACGCGCACACACACACACACTCATATACACTCACATACCCATTCACACCTATGCACACATTCACACTCACATACATTCACACACACACGTCCCCACTCACATTCACACAACCTCACACACACATTCACACAACCTCACATATACATTCACGTTCCCACTCACACAACCTCACACACACACAAACTCACACAAATTCACACATATTCACACACTCACACAGACACTCGTATCCACACAGCCTCTCACTCACATGCATTCACGCACAGTCATATACTCACATACACATTCACACCTGTGCACACATTCACACTCACATACGCACACACACTCTCACATACATTCACACTCACGCACATTCACACAGACACACGTTCCCACTCACATTCACACAACCTCACACACACATTTACACACACACATTCCCACTCACATTCATGCAACCTCACACACACACACATCCCCACTCATATTCACACAACCTCACACACACATTCACATTCCCACTCACACATTCATACATATTCACACACTCGCACACTCATATCCACACAGCCTCTCACTCACAAGCATTCACACATAGTCATACACTCACATACCCATTCACACCTATGCACACATTCACACTCACATACTCACACACACACTCTCACATACATTCACACTCACACACATTCACACATACAGACACACGTTCCCACTCACATTCACACAACCTCACACACATTTATACACACACATTCCCACTCACATTCATGCAACCTCACACACACATGTTCCCACTCACCTTCATGCAACCTCACACACACATTCACACACACACACACGTTCCCACTTACATTCACACCTCACACACACATTCACATTCACACTCACACATTCACACATACACACACATACCTTCCCACTCACATTCACACAACCTCACACATACATTCACACACATGCACGTGCACACTCACTCCTCTTCACACACCTGGTCTCTCTCCCAAACAGGATTCGCCGGACGTTGCTGAGGTCAGCCGGGGGAAGATTCTCCTCTAGGCTCTGCTCCAGTGATGAAAACTCAGGGCTAGCCATGGCCACCAGACAGCAGCCGTCTCCCTGCCGGGCAGAGAAGTGGCAGACAGGCTGGCCGCCTGCTGGGGCTCCCTGGACTTCGGCCTGAGCTCTACCCCACCCCACAGCCTGGCCTGTCAGAGCCTCCCAGGCCTAGTGACCACACCCAGGCAGCCCCAGCCCCCAGCTTACCTGCCCTGGAAGCCTCCCTGGGCCAGCAGGCCAGGGTCACCTCTGAGACACCAGGTCACACAGGGAGTCTCTAACTTTAGGCCCGATAGTGCCAAAGGAGAAGCTTCTGCTAGGGAGCCAGCCCCTCTGAGGAAGTCGGTGCTCTGTCCCTGCCCTTCAGGACCCTGGGCCAGGGTCACAGAACCACAGGACATTCACTCCCACAAGGGTGCACCAAGTACCAATCATGTGCCAGCCTGTGTTCTGGGTGCTGGGGTCACAAAGACCAAAGTGAGGTAGCTCCCACCCCCCCGCGGGCTGAGCTCAGCAAGCCAGAGGCCTGGGGCCGAAGAAGAGCAGTGCAGGCTGGACATCATGTATCAGCAGAGAGGTGGGAAAAGGAGGCTTGTGCACGGGCACCGGCTAAAGGGCCAGCCCGGCAGCCCCTCAAGAGAGCGCTCAGGGCCCGCGATAATGGGTCATCCCCGAAACGCCTGGGCAGCACCAGGAAAGCTGAGCACAAAGGCCTGCAAATGTTGGCCTAAAGTCAGTCAATCTGCCAGCATTTCTTAGGCACCAATGGTGTGCCAGGCTCCATGCTAGGTGTTGGGACCGTAGTCCAAAATGCAGTAGTCCCTGTCTTCAAGAAGCTTCCATTCTATTAACAAGGATGCCTGGGGCCCCCTGAGCAGTGGTAGAGTGACCCGGTGCAAAGGGGTCATACTGAGCACGGTCCCTGGCACACAGCAGGTGCTTAATAAATGCTCGTGGACCTGGTGCACCTGCATGACACAGCTGAGTGAAGCGTGGATTGTCGTGGAGTAGAGCTGGAACACGAGAGGCAGGGGACCCCAAGCCGCAGCCTGTGGTGATGGACCACGCAGGAGAGAGTGGGTGGTGTAAGGCGTGTAGAATCAGCAAGACTTGGCCAACAGGGCGCCCAGAACGCAGCCTTGGACTCACCATGAGCCTGGCTAGGGCAGAGGACACAGGGATGGACCCCAGGAGCTTTTCTGGCTGCCCCCCATGCTGCTGACGTCTGTTCTGACCATGACCCTCTCGGATGATCCAGCTTCCCAACAACCAGAGCTGCTGTGAGAGGGGATGCTGCCTTGGAGATCTCCCAGCAGAAGCCAGATGGCCCCTTGTGGTGCAGGACTTCAAAGGGCCCCTTCCACTCTGGTGTAACAGGAGGCTGGCAAGGGATGGAGCACCCTGTGGGCTGTGTTGGGAGAGCAGAGGGTTAAATCTTCAACTTGGAAAGGAGCGAACACTACACGTCGACTGATTTACTGTCTGTTGATCACTGAGGCTCAAGTCAGTGATGGAGAAATGTCGTGGAGATGCTTGAAGAGCATCTAGCAAAGGCTGGCAAGAAGGGATTTGCCAGGCGGTTCTTCTGAGCCAACAAGGGGAGAGGACGAAGAGATGCTATCGAGGACAGCAGCCAAGACATTGAGGCTCATTTGGCCTCAGAGACAGAAGTGGCCTGGGGCCTGGGAGTCTCGGTTTACTCCTCCACACAATGGGACATCTTTACACTCTGCCTCACAAGGCAGTATGAAGGAAGATGCTCCAAGACCAGCAGAAGTATAAGTCATTACTGGACTCCACCAAGCCCCACTCCAATGCCATTGAGGCCTGGGGGCGATACTGCCCCCAGAAGGCTCTGCGGGAGACACCAGGCTGCAAGGGCTCTAGGAGCCGCCGTCTTGGCATCAGCCCAAGTTGGCTTTCTGAGGCTGCCATCACCTGCAGCTGGGGCTGGAAGGGGCAGGGAGCCTTTGGCCTGGGTCCTCACTGACCCTGGTGCTGACCAGCTGAGCCTTCAGCCCCAGCTTTTGTTAGCTGCCAGGATGGCCCAGTGACCAGGTGAGGTGGGGTCCTGCTAGACATGCGGAACCAAAGCAGTCTTGTTGCAAACGAGGCCAAAAGGCCACAAGGAGGCCAATCTCCTGGGAGGGGTCATGAAGCCCCAAAATCCCCAGTCACAGCTTCAGAAAACGAGAAGAGGCAATTTGGGGCCTTCCCAGCCTTGGGTCAGGGAGGCTTCCCAACCAAAAACATGAGAAAGGTGATCACACTTGCACAAACCAACTCAATGTAGGTAGTGTAAGAAGAAAAACTGATGACTGGAAAGAAAAAACACTTGCCACAAAAATCCCCAGAATGGGTGTGAAACCCAAGATACATAGAAAATGGCCAGGCCAAGGGGCCATTCCCCACAGAAGCAGGCAATGATTAAAAACCAGATGAAGATTGAACCAAAAAACCTCCGGGCAGGGCACCTGTTTCCCATGGGAGATGAACCAGAGGGCCCCCCAAGCCTCCCCTCTTCTGTAACACCCTATCCCGCTGCACCCCCAAGGCAGGGACAGAATTAGGGTTAGAGGGTCTGGCAGCGGCCACCAGGGCTGCAGGAGGCCAGAGGGGAGGCCAGAGAGGGGGAGGGGTGGGAGAGAGGCCTGCACAACTTCCTGGCCTCATTCTCATCCGCATTCCTCCCAGCAGCCAAGCACTTATCTCTTCCCTAGGAGACTCCTGGGAAGGAAATCGGTGGGAGCCCAGGGGCTGAGAGAGTCCCATCAGCACTGGGTGGGGCAAGGGCCAAAACCTTGTTGCCTTTGGCCCAAAGAGGCCGATGGCCTGCCTGAGCAGCAGAAATCCAGGGGGCTGGCTGGGAGGGGAGGAGAAGGGGGCTAAAGCTGGAAGGGGGGGGCATGCTGGGTTTGAGATGCCTCTAGGACAGCCGCCAGGCACACCCAGACCCCAAGCCTGAAGCTGGGGAAAGAGGCCAGAGCCCAGAGCAGAGGCCCTGGGGCCTCCAGGCTGCCCTAGCCCAGGTCATCTGCCCTCTCTGGGCTTCCTCAGTTTCCTCACCTGTAAAATGGGGGGATTGGCCCTAAGGCCAAGGACCTCAGAGGGCTGAGCTGTTAAGATGAAGGCCGGTAGGTGTATCATAAGGGAGTGAGGCTCCTGAGGACTGTGACACTCTGTAGCTCCTACTTGCCCCTGGCCCTGGGAGAGGGGACCCTCTTTTGTAAGTGACCTGGCTGGCCACCCATAGCCACCTACAGTCAGGGAATGAGGGGGGAAAGGGAAGGGTACTGGCTCAGGGGGTCCGGAAGTCTCCTTAGCTCTGGGCCTGAGCCCAGGCTGTCTAGTGTCCTGCAGAGGAAGGGTAGGCAGCCAGCCAAGGTGAATGAGGGAACTGCCCCGGAGCCTGCTGGGGCCTGGACAGCTGCTCAGTGACAGGGAAAACTCACAAAACTCCATCTCCCCTCCACTGTGACCCCAGAAGGATCTGGAGCTGCGGAGCCATCAGCCAGCCTCCCTCGGAGACCCCCAGGATAGGAACTCCTCACCCCCAGAAGAAGCCCTTTCTGCTGGCCTGGCAGCTTGGAGGAAGCTCCCCCGCCCCCTCCGCCCCATCTCCTTCCCTACAGCTCGCGTCTGTCCACGGGGCCAAACGGAACCAGACTGATCCCTTGGGAGGCACCCGCACTTAGGGCCCTGGCCTACCCTGGGCAACCCCTCTCTAGGCTAGTCCCCCCGGGCTCCTTCAACCCTGGGCGAAATGATGTCCTCCTCATACCCCCATGGCTCCCGGAGTTCTCTAAGCCAGAAGGAGCCATGTAGGCCTGCTGGACCCATCCTCCATGTAACAGGCAGGGAGCCTGAGGCCCAGGAGTGGAGTAGAGAAATTCTTCCTGTGGCTGCCCTGGCTGGCAGGTGTTTGGTCACTGTGGGCCATAAATCTTTGGGCTGGGCAGCAAGGTCCTGTTACACCTGGGATGGGCCAGTGGGCTCTCCTTCCCCCAGGGTGTGTCTGCCCCTGAGAGCCTTTCCTACAGCTGAGGCTGGTTCTGGAGGGCAGGGACAGGGCCTGGGAAGGGCTTCCCACCTGCTGGGAGTGCTGCCTCTCCTGGGGTCCATGGATCAGGTGAGGAAACTGAGGCCCCTGGGGTGTGTGGGGGAGTGGGGTTACTGTGGGGCCAGAGGGGCTGGCCCCACCCCTGGTCCATTCACTGCTATTCTTAGCCCTCCCCTCCCTTTGGCATGCCCAGCCTCCCTCGCTGCTTTGTTCTGGACCAGGCTTGTGACATGTCCTGATACGAGGTTCTCTGAGGCCTATCGGAAGTGGCCCCAGCCCAGCCAGTGCCGAGGGAAAGACAGGAAGGAGGGCCGGGAGAGCAAGGGCCTGCCCCACTCGGGTCCCTGGACCAGCACCCTGGGATGCGGCAGGCTGCCTCCTCCCCCACCAGCTAAGCCTGGGACCAGACTAGGGAGGTGCCCTCCAGTCCTATGGATGCTGCCTGCCCTGGGGGCGTGTGCTTGCATGTGTGCACGCTGTGTGTGTGTGCGTACACGTGTGGTGCACTGCGAGTGTGCATTGTGTGCGTGCATGTGTGCATGCTGTGTGTGTGTGTGCACGTACACGTGTGGTGCACTGAGAGTGTGCATTGTGTGTGTGCGTGTGTGCACGCTGTGTGTGTGTGCATGCACATGTGTGCGTGCATGTGTGCATGTGTTGCACACTTATGTGTGACTATTGTGTGTGCACATGTGTATTAAATGCGCGTGTTGTGTGTAGGTGTGCAGGTGTGTGTGTGCGTGCATTATGTGTGTGCTCTGTGTGTGTGCGCCCATGTATGTATGTGCATTGTGCGAGTGGCATTGTATGTGTGAGAGCATGTGTGTGCATGCATTGTGCGTGCGTATAGACAGAAAGCACAATCCCCCCAGTGGTGGAAGAGAGTCAGGAGGGCCCTGCCTTCCAGCCCAACCTCTGACATTGCTTTGCTAGGTGCCCAGGACCAAGCCTCCTGGGGCTCAGTGGCTCTGCCTCTAAGATGGGCAGAATTAGCTGTGCAGGAGAGTTTGGGACAAAAGGCAGAGCATCACTGTCCTTTTGGGGCCCCTGAGCAGCCCAGGCTGGACAGACAAGGTGACTGACTTCAGGGAGGGGTGGGCTCTTGCCCAAGGTCACAGAGCTAGGCAGAGTCCAAGGCAATGATCCTGGCCTCAGGCTCAGGAGGGGGAGGAGGGCATTCTAAATCCCAGGCTGGGTAAAACCTGAGCTGTCTTAGCCCTCCCAGAGCGGTGCTGCCCTG